CCAGTCAGTCATACAAGCTTCCTCTGTCGGTTCTGGGGATTCTTGGCAGAGAGAGACAGGTGCAGTGATAGATCTCTGTGACAGACACACAGGAGAGGGAAGGAGAGAGAGTGAGAGGAAGAGAGAGACTCTTCTTTCACAGGTGGGCTGCCTGACACACTGTCTGGTCCTTGCTTATTATTCTTTTTTTTTAAAATATTTTTATTTATTTCTAGGAGAGAGAGAGAGGGAGAGAGAGAGCGTGAGCAGGGGAGGATCAGAGAGAGAGGGAGTCACAGACCGAAACAGGCTCCAGGCTCTGAGCTGGCAGTCAACACAGAGCCCGACGCGGGGCTCGAACCCACGAACCGCGAGATCATGACCTAAGCGAAAGTCAGACGCTTAACCGACTAAGCCACCCAGGCGCCCCCCTTGCTTATTATTCTTAATTATTTTAAGATTTTTACTTAATGTATTTATTTTAAAATATTTATTTTCTAAAAAATGTTTATTTATTGTGAGAGAGAGAGAGAGAGAACATGAGTGAGGGGAGAGGGAGGGAGAGGGGGAGAAAGAATCCCAGGCAGGCTCCATCCACCCTGTCAGTGCAGAGCCTGATGCGGGCCTCCATCTCACCAAATGGGAGATCAGGGCCTGAGCCGAAATCGAGAGCCGGTCCCTTCACCGACTGAGCTGTCCAAGCGCCCCTGAAATATTTTTATTTATTTATTTATTTTAAAAACAATTTTATTTTTTAAATGTGTGGGGTTTTTTAATGTTTACTTATTTTTGAGAGAGAGAGACAGAGCATGAGCATAGGAGGCAGCAGAGAGAGAGAGGGAGACACAGAATCTGAAACAGGCTCCAGGTTTGGAGCTGTCAGCACAGAGCCCAATGCGGGGCTCGAACCCACGAACTGTGAGATCATGACCTGAGCCTAAGTCGGATGCTTAACCGACTGAACCACCCAGGTGCCCCATATTTTTAAGTCATCTCTACACCCAGCTTGGGGCTTGAGCTCACAACCCTGAGATCCAGGGTTGCATGATCCGCCACCTGAGCTAGCCAGGTGCCCCCTGTCCTTGCTGTTTATGCGTCGCCCTAGCTCTTGGGGCCCCCGGCACTTCAGGACATAAACTCCTCATCCTCCCGGGGAGCTGCGCAGGTGTGTTCTGTTGCCCGGATGTGCCACCATTAGCCAGGCCTTGCTGCACACGCTGGTCATTTCCCATCTGCGTCGGGGTGCTGCAGGCAAAGCTCTTCCCAGCCACTTGTCCTGGAGGATTCTGGAAGCCACAGGGCATTCGCATCGGCACTTCCTTTTTTTTTTTTTTTTTTTTAATACCCCTTGCCCTTATGAAGTCAGTGAAAGGAAGTGTTAGGCCTCCCTTCCCAAAGGAGAATCACCGAGAACAAAGCCCACAAAACACAAAAAGAGTTGGTTATTCTGGCTTATTTTAGTCCCGAACACCCGAAGACCCCGAAGAGTCATCGGAAGAGCGCCCCGCTGAGCCATAGCTCAGGGTTTATATAGGGAGAGGGGCGAAGCCAGTGTGCAGAAGCGAGAATTTTGCGGTTAGAGTTGGGGGTTGCTTAACAGATGCTTGAAGAACATGTTTGACCGTTCTAATCACAATGTTCACCAAACATTTCCATCTGGGGGGGGGGGGGCGGCCTGGGGCAGCCAGGAGGAGCCAGGTTGCTCAACCCCTGACCTTTTACCCCTTTTACCCGAATAGAGGTTAAGATCAAACAATGGTTGGTACTTCCTATTTGCATGCCCCTCGCCTTTTGGCCCAAGGGAGTTTTTACACGGTGAGCTCACAGCCGGAAGAAGCTTGGTCAGCTGATAGCTGGAGTGAGGAGCCTGGGAGCAGGGGTGGGGGGTGGCGGACGTAGAGATGCTCCCTTTTTGGAGTCTGAGTCACACTGTAGCCAAGGAGGCCTGGGATGGGGGAACCAGCAGCTGCAAAGCTACTGGCTTCATGCTTTGCATCCAAAGCGAACAGTCACAGTATTTAACAACCTGCAAGGGGCAGAGACACCCCCCCACCCCAAGTAGGTCTCCAGCCTTCTGCTGTGCCTGGCATTAACCCTTTAGTAACTGGAGCATGGGATGGGGGTGGGGGAGTGGAGGGAGGAGAGGGATGAGTGGGTCCCAGAAGGAAATGGGAAGAAGCCAGGGTGGGAGACAGGTGGGAGGGGGGTATGCCATGGCGGGGGGGGGGGTGTGTGGAAATGGTAAGGGTAAGACTCCCAGCAGGGACTATTTACCAATAGAAACATTGCGACAAGATGAGCTTTCTATTTTGAATATTATCCCCCTTACAGAAAAATTGTAAGAATGATACAAAGAACTCCCGTAAGACTCTTTACCCAGATTCTCCAAATTTGCTTTATCATTCAATGACTTAGCTTTTTGCCATCATCTATCTATCTATCTATCCATCTATCTACCATCTTTTTTTTGGAACAATTTGAAAGTAAGTTGTAGGCATCATACCCTTTGGCTCTTATATACCTTAGTGTTTATTATTTCTTCTTCTCTTCCTCCCCCTCCTTCTTCTCCTCCTTCTTTTTTAAGTGTATTTATTTATTTTGAGAGAGAGAGCACCCACAAGTGGGGGAGGGACAGAGAGGGAGGGAGAGAGAGAATCCCAAACTGGCTCCACACTGTTAGTGCAGAGCCGGATTCAGGGCTCGAAGTCCTTAACGGTGAGATCATGATATTTGACCAACTGAGTGCCCCAGGCGCCCCTGAAAGTGCTTCATCTCTGACTAGGACCCCCTTGCAGGATGCCTCTTCTGTCCTTTTGACATGTCCCCATCATTCTTTAAAAGTTGCTTGGGGCACCTGGGTGGCTCAGTCGCTTAAGCGTCTGACCTCGGCTCAGGTCATGATCTCACGGTTCATGGGTCCAAGCCCCGCATCAGGCTCTGCGCTGACAGCTCAGAGCCTAGAGCCTGCTTCACATTCTGGGTCTCCCTCTCTCTCTGCCCCTCCCCTGCTCACGCTCTGTCTGTTTCTATCTCCCAAAAATAAATAAACGTTAAAAAAATTTTTTTTTAAGTTTCTTTACTTTCTTGTATGAGATGTTCTGGGCTCATCTTGTATATTTCCTGTCCCAGAATGGGAATCAGTCCTGGGTTTTGGGTTTTTTTTTTTTATTAAAAAAATGTTTATTCATTTTTTAAAAAACTTTTTCTCATGTTTTATTTATTTTTGAGAGAGAGAGAGACAGCGTGAGCAGGGGAGGGTCAGAGAGAGAGGGAGACACAGAATCTGAAGCAGCTCCAGGCCCTGAGCTGTCAGCGCAGAGCCTGATGCGGGGCTTGAACCCATGAACCGTGAGATCATGATCCAAGCCGAAGTCGGACGCTTAACTGACTGAGCCACCCAGGCGCCCCTGTTTATTCATTTTTGAGAGAGAGCAAGAGAGTGCACGAGCAGGGGAGGGGCAGAGAGAGAGGAGGACAGAGGATTTGAAGTGGGTTCTGTGCTGACAGAGGAGAGCCCGAGGTGGGGCTTGAACTCAGCAAACCTTGAGACCATGACCTGAGTGGAAGCTGGACGCTTAACTGACAGCTCCCCAGGTGCCCCGACCCTGGGCTCTTTGAAGGGCAGAGGGCCATTAAAGACCATAATCTGATTGGTAAGGTCCTCTTTGTTCTCGAACAGATATCTTTCTCTGTTCCTGCCGTCCCTCTGTCCTTCCTCTTGCCATCCCTCTGTCCTTCCTCTTGCAAGGCAAACATCTATTTCTTATTCCCATTTCTCATTCTTCATCTTGCTGTCCCCCAATATTTTCTCTCTGCTCTGAGACTGAGGTTTTGGAATGACTTAAGCTAAAGGTGACGAAAGGCTGGGAGCCAAGCAGGAAAGAAACAGACGCACCGAGCAGCAATGGAACTTGCAAAGGGCCGGGCGGGCTTCAGGGAAGACAGTTGGGATCTGGCCCCTCGCCGTGCTGAGCTATCTGGGGACCCAGAGCACAAGGGCACATGTGTGCCCTTCTACACTTAGCGAAATAGCCTCCCGTAGTTTGAACCAAGTGGAACAAATAAATACAGCGCTACTCAAAGCTCCCGGAAAACAAAAAAACTCTCACAAGTCCCAGCAGCGGGGACTGTACATAACGCCCCGCATTGCCTGATATGTTTTCTTGCCACAGTCAAGTCAGAGACCCTGCTGTCCTGGAGAGCACTGTGGTCTGATTGGACAGTTCCTACTGCACAGTCATGCAAGGGCAGAAAACAAAGACAATTTGTCTTTATTTACAAGTTGGATGTTCCCCCGCCTCTGATTTTTTTTGGGGGGGGGGCATTGATTTTGATTCTTAAAAAAAATTTTTTTTAATCTTTACTTAGTTTTGAGAGAGAAAGAGACAGCGTGAGCAGGGGAGGTGCAGAGAGAGAGAGGGAGACAGAGAATCTGAAGCAGGCTCCAGGCTCCGAGCGAGCTGTCAGCACAGAGCCCGACGGAGGGCTTGAACCCACAGACTGTGAGATCATAACCTGAGCCAAAGTCGGACACTTAACCGACTGAGCCACCCAGGCGCCTCGCTCCTTGCTTAAATATCACACCGAATCACTCCCTTCTCCAGGAAGCTGCTCAGAGCACAGAGCTGTCTCAGTGGGTGGGAGGCAGCAAAAGGGGGCAGCGGTGGGGGTGGGTGGCGGTGGGGGATGTACCTGGGGAATATCATCTAAAGCGTGTTGGTGACATGAAAAATAGCTAACAAGCAGAGTGTCGTGGGTACGGCCCAGGAAGAGTGGATAGTGATCACAACATTGAAGCAGGGCTAGGGTTTGCTCATTTGGTCACTGGGTCCTGGGGATGTCCAGGGATGGTAGCGGGAGGTGCCGAGCCGGGAGGGTGGCGGGCGTGACGCCCCAGCTGGGTCTCGGCCCCCCACATCCTCGTTTCCCCGGGGAGAATCCTGGGGCTCCGAGAAGTGATGTGACGGGCTTCCGGCCACGCAGCTCTGATGGTCCCTTGTCGCCTCTCTGGTTCCACGCAGGACCCCCTGAATTACAGCGCCACTGAGTATCCCCTATATGACTGGACTGGGGACCCCAACGTGCCGGTGGACCAGCCTTCGAGAACCTCCAGGCTGCCTCTTCCGGAGGTGTTTGCCCTGCTAATCTACGTGGTGGTCTTCTTGGTGGGGGTCCCGGGCAACACCCTGGTGCTCTGGGTGACGGGCTTCGAGGTCCGGAGAAACATCAACGCCATCTGGTTTCTCAACCTGGCGGCGGCCGACCTCCTCTCCTGCCTGGCGCTGCCCATCATGTTCACCTCCGTCTTTCAGCAGGGCCACTGGCCCTTCGGCGACGTCGCCTGTCGCATCCTGCCTTCTCTCATCCTGCTCAACATGTACGCCAGCATCTTGCTCCTGGCCACCATCAGCGGCGACCGCTTCATGCTTGTGTTTAATCCCGTCTGGTGCCAGAACTACCGGGGGCCCCACCTGGCCTGGGTGGCCTGCGGCGTGGCCTGGGTCGTGGCCCTGCTGCTGACCATCCCCTCCTTCCTTTACCGCGCGGTCTACGTGGAGTACTTTCCGTTCAAGATAAAGTGTGTCGTCAACTACGGCCAAAACAGGGTCCCCATCGAGAGGGCGGTGGCCGTGATCCGGCTGGTGGTGGGCTTCCTGTGGCCGTTGGTCATGCTCGGAATCTGTTACACGTTCCTCCTGATTCGCACCTGGAGCCGCAGAGCCACGCGCTCCACCAAGACGCTCAAGGTGGTGGTGGCGGTGGTGACCAGCTTCTTTGTGCTCTGGCTACCCTACCAGGTGACAGGGATGATGCTGGCCTTGCTCCCCTGGGACTCAAAGATCTTCATATTCGCGTCCAGTGTGGACGCCCTGTGCATCGCCTTCGCGTACATCAACTGCTGCATAAACCCCATCATCTACGTGGCTGCTGCGCAAGGCTTCCACGCTCGCTTCCTCAAGTCCCTTCCCACCAGGCTCCGCAACGTGTTGACCGAGGAGTCCGTGTCCCGGGACAGTAAGAGCTACACCCTGTCCACGGCGGACACCCCGGCCCAGAAGAGCCAGGCGGTGTGAGGGGAGTGCTGCCGCCCGGCCCCCCCACTTCCCACCTGTCCATTCTCTCTCTGCTCATTCGCGGGGCCCATGGAGCTGTCGTTTCCGCCAGCTGCCCTCCGTTCCCTCCGTCTCTCCCAGACGTGTCCTCCCTCGCTTTCAGGACTAACACGTCCCTCTAGGGATCCCGTCCTTTCTTTCCACCCAAGGACTTTGGAAAAACCAGCAGAAACTCATAATACTGGGAGTCCCCTCTCCCCAAACGGCTCTCTGTCTGCGTGGGCAGAGATTGTGACTAGAACACATCCGCTGCATAGAAGACAGACAGAGAGAAATATTTTAACCTTTGAAAAATAGCGAGGGGCGCCTGGGTGGCTCAGTCAGTTGAGCGTCCGACTTTGGCTCAGGTCATGATCTCACAGTTCGTGGGTTCCAGCCTGGCATCTGGCTCTGTGCTGACAGCTCAGAGCCTGGAGCCTGTTTCAGATTCTGTGTCTCCCTCTCTCTCTGACCCTCCCCTGATCATGCTCTTTCTCTCTTTCTCTCAAAAATAAAATAAACATAAAAAACCCTAAGTGTGTTGATTTAAAGAAAAACAGGAAGTTAAAATGTTACTCCATTGTGGTTTTTAAAAAATGCCTTAAGTAAAAAGATGTTAGAAGGTCCTGGTGAAAAGCAAGTGTGAGGGAGGGCTGTTGTAAGGGGGGGGGGCATGTAGGGAAAGAGTTGTTGGACCCTTCCGGGGAAGGAGGAATATGTGTTTTTACTTTGTAAACTGCTATTTTGTTTGCATTTCTAAAAAAAAATGAAAAGAAAAGAAAAGAAAAGAAAAAGGAAAAAAGAAAGCAAAAAACCCAAAATACTTTTAATTTTGGTATCATTGTAGACTCACGTGAAGCTGTGAGCATTATCGAAGAGGGATCTTGCATGCCCTTGACCTATTTCGCTCCGGGAACGCCTTGCAAAACGACGTTGCAAGATCTTGACCGGGATGTTGACATTGATATACTCAAGGGGCAGGACGTTTTCATCACCCTGGGGAGTCCTTCATAATGCCCTTTTCCAGCCCCCCTCCACTACCCTCCATCCCCCCCGCTGCCTGGTCTCAGGGACCCAGGCAGCCGCGATTCTTCTCCCTGTCTCCAATTTTGTCCTTACCAGAAATGTCTTATCAAGGGACTCATACAGCGTGTAACCTGCTGCCTTTTGAAAAAACTTGTCTGCTGCACGTGAATAATGAACATAAAAAACAATAAATGTTGAAATGCTGTGCTATTTAGAATCGACTGTAAAACACTTCTGTTTAGAGTTTGGTGCGTGCGTGCGTGTGTGTGGCTGGGCTAGAGATTGTGCAGACCAGCACTATTCAACAGAAATATGCTGTGAGTCTCATACGTAGGGTCCAATTTTCCGTCGCCGCACTAAAAAGGTAAGAAGAAACAGGGGCACCTGGCTGGCTCAGCCAGAAGAGCGTGTGACTCTTGGTGTCAGAGTTGTGAATTTGAACCCCATGTTGGGGTAGAGCTTACATAAATAAATATGCTTAAAAAATAAAAAAAGAAACATGAAATAATAGTAATGTATTTTATTATTATATTAACAACAATTATATGAATAGGATATTAGTGATAGCATATGAATATTATATATTATACAATTATATGTTATATGACTATCAGGATGTTATATACTAATTGTGTATATATTTCAAAGATTTTATTTTATTTATTTATTTTTAAAATTTTATTTATTTACTTTTGAGGGGAGGGGCAGAGAGAGAAGGAGAGAGAGAGAGAATCCCAAGCAGGCTCTGTGCTGTCAGCTGATGTCAGTCTCGAACTCACGAACCCGTGAAATCATGACCTGAGCCGAAATCAAGAGCTGGAGCCTCAACTGACTGAGCCACGCAGGCTCTCCAAAGATTTTATTTTTAAGTAATCTCTACACCCAGTGTGGGGCGTGAACTCACAACTCTGAGATCCTGACTGAGCCAGCCAGGCACCCCTATAATAATTGTATTTATGATTCGACGAAATAAAAATACATAACCATATTATATAATATAGAGGATATAGCACACATTTTAACATTATATTAATGTATATAATTTATACCAATATATTATAGTAATAGGAATACTATTAAGATACTTATTATATTATTATATATAATGACATTTAATATATAAAATATGCATGCAGTCAATACTATATTTTGCCAAACAATATATCCAAAATATTTCTTTTATAGTTTTTTCCCCTTTTTCCTCCTATAACTGTTTTTTTAATTTGAGAGACAGAGGGAACGAGAGTGGAGGAGAGGCAGAGAGAGAGAGAGAATCGTAAGCAGGCTCCACGCTGAGCATGGGGCTCAATCCCATGACTCTGGGACCTGACCCCAAATCAAGAGTCAGACACTCAACCGACTGAGCCATCTAGCCACCCCAACCGGCCTGTTTTCAAAAGATCATCCTGTCAGGCACCTAGACGGTGCAGTCGGTTGAGCATCTGACTCTTGATTTTGGCTCAGAGCATGATCTCATAGTCATGAGATCAAGCCTGGCCTTGGGCTCTGAGCTGGGCATGGAGCCTGCCTAAGATTCTCTCTCCCTCTACCCCCTCCCTCTGTGCACACACACGTGCCTGCGTGCATGTGTGTGTGCTCTTTCTCTCTGTCTCAGAAAAAAAAAAAGTTAAAACAATTAAAAATCAGGGGCACCTGGGTGGCTCAGTTGGTTAAGCATCTGACTTTGGCTCAGGTCATGATCTCACGGTTCGTGGGTTCGAGCCCTGCTTCGGGCTTTGTGCTGACAGCCAGCTCAGAGCCTGGAGCCTGTTTCAGATTCTGTGTCTCCTTCTCTCTCTGACCCTCCTCCACTCACGCTCTGTCTCTCGAAAATAATAAACATTAAAAAATTAAAAATAAATAAAAAATCGTCCCTGTGCCTATTTTACCTTCATCTGGGTGCAGCTTCCTCCAGGAAGTCCTGCTTGACTTCCTCCTCTGCCTCCCCTCCCCCCTTCCCTCTCCCCTCGTTCTCTCTTTGTTCCTAGCCAGCGGCCAGCTTTCCCAGTTTGGGGGAGTCGGCTGCAGGCGGTGAGGTCTTTGCCTCCCTCTGATCTGGGAAGGAGATGTCATCCCAGGAGCTGGGGCCCCCGCAACTGTCTTCTCGAATCACCTGGAGTTTAACGAGTGCGATCCAGGTGGCTTCTCTGAGGTGCTGGGCCGCCCTGCCCAGGAGGGAAGTGGGCCGAAGGGCTGGGCCATTGCCAAATCTGGGGCTCGGGGGATCTGCTGGGCTCAACAAGTTCTGAAGAGGAAGTGGTGGGGAAAGGAAATGGATGATTCGGTTTGGCTGAGCTGGCTCTGTCCATCCCCCGTCCCCTGCCAGTCAGCACCACCAAGTCCCCCGGCACCCACCCCCAGATTCCTCAGACTGGGCTCCCCAAGGCCCGGGGCAAAGCCTCCTCCCTGCACCTGTGCCATGTGACCTTCCCCCCCCCCCCGCAGCACCACACGTCTACCCCCCAGGTAGGTATTGCTCAGATTAGCGTCAGCTCATAGGAGCCCAGTGTGAGCCACACGCGTGATCGTACGTTCTGTTCAGTGGCCGGGCACGGGGCAAGCAAAGAGAGACAGAAAGAATCAGATACAATTAATTTGAATGTTATTTATATTTTAAAATGTTTATTCATTTGTTTTGAGAAAGAGAGAGAGAGAGAGAGAGAGCTTGTGTGTGAGCAGGGGAGGGGCAGAGAGAGAGGGAATTCCAAGTAGGCTCTTGCTGTCAGAACAGAACCCAACTTGGGGCTCCACCCCGTGAACCGTAGGATCATGACCTGAGCCAAAATCAAGAGTCAGACACTTAACGGGCTGAGCCGCCCAGACTCAGGGCTTTTGGAGCTCTTTCCGTCTGGGATTCAAATAGTCTGCGACTAAATCTGTCAGATACCTTGGGCCAAATAGCTTATGATTCCGATGTTGTAAGAGTCAGTGATTCCAACACTTCAGTCTTTGACATAGACCAGGGGTCAGCAAACTCCAGCCTCGGGGCCATATCCGGCCCACTGCTTGTTTCTGTAAGTAAAGTTTTATTGAAACACAGCTATGTCCATTTGGTCTGTGGCCACTTTCAATCTACCAAGGCAGACTGAATAGTTGTGGCAGAGGCCACAAGTGCCCTTGCGACCAGCAGACACTAAAATATTATTCCTTTCCTGAAGAAGTTTGCTGACACTTGATGTAAATGTTCAATGATTCTAAGATGGATGGTGACTTTAGAGATAGACATTCATTTGATTGTTGTTCTTTTCAGCTTATGCATGTTACCTGCGCTCTTTCACGTGCATCAGATATCACGTCACAATATCCATTGTTTGAAACACACTCGTTTCCCCATCTTAGGCATTCACCCTTTCTGGCTTCTATAATTGTGTTAGGTTGGGGTACCTGGCTGGCATCATGGGTAGAGCCTGCGACTCTTGATCTCGGGGTTGTGTGTTCGAGCCCCACGTTGGGAGTAGAAATTACTTAAAAATAAAATCTTTAGGGGTGCCTGGCTGTCTCAGTTGGTTAAACGTCCAACTTCAGCTCAGATGATCTCACAGTCTGTGGGTTCAAACCTCACGTCGGGCTCTGTGCTGACAGCTCAGAGCCTGGAGCCTGCTTCCGATTCTGTGTCTCCCCTTCTCTCTGCCTCTCCCCTGCTCATGCTCTGTGTCTGTTTCTCAATAATAAATAAATATTTAAAAAATAAAAAAATTAAATCTTTAAATAAATAAGTGAATTTAAAACATCATGTTAGGTTGAACTCTGTGAAATTGCCAAACTTCATCCCATTTGGGGTTGAGGGGGTGTTGACAGCTTATTATTTGCTATTTTAAAAAATCGCAAAATACAAGTCACGTAAAAATCACCATTAATGGTCTGGTTCCAGAACATTTTCGTCACCTCCAAAGGAGCCCTTCCCTGCCCCCCAGCCCCTGGCAACCGCTAACCTGCTTTCTCACTACAGATTTGTTGAAACACAACCTATTTTGACCCGCAACATGGCAATTTCCTATGTCAACTTAACCTTTTTCTTTTATGTTTATTCATTTTTGAGTGAGAGAGAGAGGGAGGGGCAGAGAGAGAAGGAGAGACAGAACCCCAAGCAGGCTCCACGCTGCCATGGCAGAGCCCGACGCGGGGCTCGAACTCACGAACCGTGAGATCACGACCTGAGCCGAAGTCGAGTCTGATGCTTACCCGACCGAGCCGCCCAGATGCCCTGCTCAACTTAACCTTCTAAAGTGTCCTGCTTCTAGCTCCCCTGTGTTGAGGGGCTGGTACTTGGCATCTGGTGGGCCGGCTGTTAAAAGGAACCCCACCCCCAGAATGGCCCCTCACTTTTTATAAATCTGTGTTCCCCACTCCTTCATTCCTCGCCCCTGGCCTTCTGCAGCCTGTGGAGACACTGCCCTCGCTCACCGCACCCCTCACGCCCCCAGCAGACAGCCCCCGATGCCAGGGACACCAGAAAACCCCAGCCCCCCAGATCTGTGCACCGGAGACCAGCAGTGGAGCGTACCAGGATGTAATGATGTGAGCGGCTGATAACAGACAGTCCTGGGTCTTTTCTGACCAGGATGGACTCCCACAGGATGTGGGAGATGAGGAGGCCTCCCGGAGCAAGCCAGGAGGGGAAGGAGGGGACGTCTGTCTCTTGGGGGGGGGGCTGGGGCCACGACAAGGTTTGGCAAGACACGGTCACCCAGGGAGGGGCCGGGAGACGCCCCAAGTCACAGAGTGAGTTCCATGCAGTCTGTTGACTCAGAACAACTTCCTCTCTAACAACCGGATTTTATTCTCTAAACAACAGCCGAAGAAACGTAAATACGTTGCTTCCACCCCTAAAGCGCACGCACTTGCACTCGCACTCGGGGAGAAGTACAAACACACAAAACTGCTGAATAGGGGCTCTGAGATCAGAGAGGCACTTCCTCTTGCTAAGGTTGTTGTTTTTTTTTTTAATGTTTATTTATTTCTGAGACAGAGACAGAGCTATACACACGGAATCTGAAGCTGTCAGCACAGAGCCCAATGCGGGGCTCGAACCCACGAGCTGTGAGATCACGCCCTGAGCCAAAGCCAGATGTGTAACCGACCAAGCCGCCCAGGCGCCCCAAAGCCTCCGTTCTTACAATGTAAAATTTTAAGAATTTCTGTTACTGTCTTTCTGTTGTTGCTGATTTGCCAGGTGTGCAGCCATATCCGATGCGCCGGGCACTGTTGTATCCGTATGGGTTTTAAATCTCTTTGCCCCCTTTCTTGCTTGCTGCAGAAAGTCCACCGCACAGGTGAGGAAACTGAGGCTCGGAGAGGCAGGGGCCCCCAAACTCCTTAGCAGAGGACCTGGAATACGGATCTCGTCTGTCATTCCGGCTCTCACGCCCACATTCTCAGCCTCTGCGGCTGTGCTGGGAGGGAGGCTCAGGACGGCAATGGTCTCCACCTTCCCATTTTAAAGATGGAAAACTGAGGCTCACAGGAGGGATAGGATTTGTTTGCATTTTGGCTGCTCTGAGCCCTCAGGCCCTATGGTTGGTGGTCTCGGGCTTTTTGTGGAGACCGAGACCCTGAGCTGTCCCGCTCGGTACACAGAAGGCGGGAGGCAAGTTGATCTGTCCCTCTGGGCTCTGCAGAGGGAAGGAGAGAGGGGCTGGGCACACGGCTGGAGGCTGGGAGGTGGGGAGGTGGGGAGCGGCCCTGAGTGCCTGGGCCAGGCCCAGATGCCCCCCTAGGCCCCGAAGGTGAAACCACATACAGGTGTGGCTTCCAGGAATCGGTGACTGGTGACCGTGACCCTGGGGTTGGTGACGCTGGGTCAGCCCTCCGCCCACCCAAGCTCTCTCCGCCTTTATGTGCTGCCCGGTAATTTTGGGATGTGTGAGTCATGGGAAGAGTACAGGACAAACACACCCGGAGAGCAGACGAAGCCACTCCTGTCCTCCCTGGTGATGGAGATCTGCTGGGGCCTGTGAGTGGCAGTGTCCAGCGGCATCCCGTAGGAGCCCTCGGCCAAGGCGACAGGCTGCCAGGAAGCCACCGGCTGCCAGACACCCAGAGAGGCCCCAGACCTCCCGGGTCCTGGCTGTGAGCCCAGCTCGTGGCATCTGGTCGAGATGAGGACCCTCTTACAGGAGACGGTAAGGACAGAGGGAAGGTGGGGAGGGCGGCCTTTCGGACGCATTACTTTCAGAAGCTGGGCCTCGGTCCTAGGATTCGAGAGATGCAATCTTATCACCTCCCCGTTGCAATTCCAGAGTCTTGGACTTGACTCAGGCAGCCCAACAGAAAAGCTTGGGGCAAAGGACCCACAAATCTGTCACACTCAGATGTAGAGGAAACGGTCATTCTTTTTTCTTTCCTTTTCTTTTTTTTAAATCTTTATTTATTTATTTATTTTATTTTTTTGTTTTTATTTATTTCTAGGAGAGAGAGAGAGAGAGAGCGTGAGCAGGGGAGGGTCAGAGAGAGAGGGAGTCACAGACTGAAACAGGCTCCAGGCTCTGAGCTGGCAGTCAGCACAGAGCCCCACGTGGGGCTCGAACCCACGAACCGCGAGATCATGACCTAAGCGAAAGTCAGACGCTTAACCGACTAAGCTACCCAGGCGCCCCCCAAATCTTTATTTATTTTTAAGAGAGAGAGACAGAGCATGAGCTCACGAACAATGAGATCGTGACCTGAGCCGAAGTTGGACGCTTAACCGACCGAGCCCCCCAGGCGCCCCAGGAATAGTCATTCTTCAACCTCCAGGATCCTGTGCAGTGTCTGGGGAACCCACCAAGTGGCAATGTGTCCAGTGACCTAGCCCTTTGACTCAGCCATCCCACTTCTTAAGGAAGAGTCTTTAACTTTATTTTCATGTAAAACATATGCACCCAGGGGTGCCTAGTGTTAAGTGTCTGACTTCAGCTCAAGTCATGATCTCACGGTTCGAGCCCCGCATCAGGCTCTGTGCTGACGGCTCAGAGCCTAGAGCCTGCTTCAGATTCTGTGTCTCCCTCTCTCTCTGCCCCTCCCCTGCTCACTCTCTCTCTCTCTTTCTCTCTCTCTCTCTCTCAGAAATAAATAAAACATTAAAAAAAAACAACACAAAAAACATATGCACCTAACAGTGGGCACGTCAGAACCATGGCTCTGTGTCTCTCCATGAACCAAGCTTGTACAGGTACTGAGCACCTGGGTCAAGAAACAGCACAGTCCCGAGGCGCCTGGGGGGCTCAGTTGGTTGAGCGTCAGACTCTGGATCTCAGCTCAGGCGATGATCTCCCTGTTTGTGAGATCGAGCCCCGCGTTGGGCAACTCGCTGAGCATGAAGCCTGCTTAAGAGTCTCTGTTTTCGTCTCTCTCTGCCTCTCCTCCCTCTCACAATTAAAGGAAAAAAACGTTTTATGTTTATATACTTTGAGAGAGACAGAGACAATGTGAGTGGGAGAGGGGCAGAGAGATGTGGGGGGTGGGGGAGACAGAGAATCCCAAGCAGGCTCTGCACGGTCAGCCCAGAGCCCGATACGGGGCTCAAACTCATGAAACCACAAGATCATGACTGGAGCCAAAAATGAGAGTCGGACGCTTAACCAACTGAGCCCCCTGGACGCCCCTCAAAAAAAGAAATATTAAAAATAAAAAAAGAAATAGCACAATCCCGGTCCTGAAGGGCTCTCCTCCTGCTTCCCCAATCAGTACCCGCCCCCCCCAGAATTCTTCTGCTCGTTTTTGAACTTTGTCAGAACGATACCACTCAGTCAACTGTCCTGTGCGTCTACCTGGATCTCTCCCCTCAGCCGCATGTGTATGAGATCCGTCCACCTTTGCGCATGTGGTTTGTTCATTTTCATTGTTCTAGAACATTCGACCGCATGAATATACCCAGCTCTGTTTATTTGCTCCGCTGTGGGTGACTACTTGGGCGGTTTGTCCATCACGGGCTGCTGTCAACATGTCTCTTCAGGCACATGAAGCATATGTGGGCTTCTCTGGGGGCCGGGGGGTTAGGTGTCCCATGTTGGGTTTCAGTCGCTTCTGCCCCGTGGTCCCCCGGGCAGAACGACTGGCTGATTTACAAGCCCGCACATGCCAAGAGCACTCACGCAGGTGCTCGGGATCTCAAGGAACCAGAAGAAAGCAGAGTAGCCCCTTCGCTTCTCTGTGCCTCAGTTTCCCTCTTCATTCTTTCACTCGCCAAACATCCCCTAAGCACCTGCTGTGGGCCGGTTGCCATTCTAGATGCCGGGGACATTTGGGGCCTGAAGGAGCTGACAGTTTGGGAAACCGGGCATAACAATGGCACGTACCTCATAGGGTCATCATAGGATTATACCTGCTACATAGTAGGTGCTTAATAAATGTTATCTGCTATCTTCATTGTTATAAAGTAATAATAATAATGGTAATTATGTTTTACATGTAGATATAGCTCTGTGAATATAGTTTATTGTACAAAAGATGATAAAATTGTCAGGCTATTCATGATCATCATTAAACACGTCCTTTATTGGGGCGCCTGGGTGGCTCAGTCGGTTAAGTGTCCAAACCTTGGTTTAAGCTCAGGTCACGATTCAGGCTTTGCTGGCAGCACAGAGCCTGCTTTTGATTCTCTCTCTCTCTTTCTCTCTGCCCCTCCTGTGCTCACACACTCTTTCTCTCTCAAATAATACACTTAAAATTTTTTTTTTAAAATGTCCTTTATTTAGTCTAAGGCTGGTTAACGAGCCCGACCCGTCCAGCCACGGGGCCGATTCTGAAGCTACTGTTAGGACAGGGTTGATGTGTGTACAGATAGGGACCCAGATCGAAATCACGTCTCATGAAGATTAAGAGATGAAACAGGGGTGCTGGAAGTTTCCATTTCTGTCTGATATCTGAAAAGGGAAATGCCCAGACTGCTTGAGCTGCCAGCACGCAGAATGTTTTGCAGACTTTAACCAGGAAAAGCTGGGCAGGGTGCGGGTCTTGGGATGGGAGAGAGGGTGCGCGGACCGGCAGCTGACACATGTCACGCGCTCACTGTGGACCAGGCACTGCGTTCAGCTCTTTGCTCTGATTCACTGACTGAAGGCTCACGATACCTCTAAGGTAGGAATATTATTATTCGCGTTTTACAGACAGGGAAGCTGGGGAACAGAGAGGTTAAGTGAGCCGCCCGAGGCCACACAGCTGGTGAGGGTTCGAATTTTTCAGTTTTTTTAAGTGTTTTATTTATTTCTGAGAGAGAGAGAGAGAGAGAGACAGCGTGAGCAGGGGAGAGTCAGAGAGAGAGGGAGACACAGAATCCAAAACAGGCCCGAGGCTCTGAGCTAGCTGTCAGCGCAAAGCCTGACGCGGGGCTCAAACCCACAAACCATGAGATCATGACCTGAGCTGTAGTCGGACACTCAACTGATTGAGCCACCCAGGCACCCCTTAGGGTTCGAATTTTTTTTTTTAAGGTTTTATTATTTTTTTTTTATTTATTTCTAGAGAGAGAGAGAGCGTGAGCAGGGGAGGGTCAGAGAGAGAGGGAGTCACAGACCGAAACAGGCTCCCGGCTCCGAGCTGGCAGTCAGCACAGAGCCCGACGCGGGGCTCGAACCCACGAACCGCGAGATCATGACCTAAGCGAAAGTCGGACGCTTAACCGACTAAGCCACCCAGGCGCCCCTAGGGTTCGAATTTTTAAAGCCCGCACATATTTTACTCTAGTGATGAAAATAATATGCAAACGGTGGGCCAAACTGTGCACGCGCGCGCGCACTCACACACACACACAAGCACACACACACGTACACACACAGTGGCCAGGCCTCTTAGCAGCTAGCTGGCAGGGTGGAGGGGGCAGAAGGCAGTGTCCCAACTTCCCCTCTGCTCTTCCTGTTGCATCAATGCCAGATGGAGCTCGGGGTAGCGCCAGCCAGCCCCTGAGGGTCAGCAGACCCTGCCACAGGGTTACATCACTCTGACCTTATGGGGGACGGCCCACCATCCATCTACCTGAGCCCTTTGTCTGGGCCACGTGATTTACACCCATCAACTCCTCAAGGCCTCACCCCGCCCCAAACTGGTGAGGTAGGTTCACCTCTGTGACTCATTTCTCAGATGAGGAAACTGAGAGAGAAAGCCAGCTGAAACTCAGTTACAGAGCCCGGGTCTGGTCTGGGCCAGGGGCTGCCCTGCCTTCGGAGTCTCCCTGAATCTAAGATTTGGGGGTGAATATAATCTAGGGTCCGGAATTCCGGAGTGGGACTAACACAGTTCAAGCCTCAGCTCTGTTACTTGCTTAGCTGAATGGTCTTTTTTTTTTTTTAATTTTTTAATGTTTTTATTTATTTCTAGGAGAGAGAGAGAGAGAGACAGCGTGAGCAGGGGAGGGTCAGAGAGAGAGGGAGTCACAGACTGAAACAGGCTCCAGGCTCTGAGCTGGAAGTCAGCACAGAGCTTGACGCGGGGCTCGAACCCACGAACCGTGAGATCATGACCTAAGCGAAAGTCGGACGCTTAACCGACTAAGCCACCCAGGCGCCCCAACTTAGCTGAATGGTCTTAAGGAGCTTACTTCTCGGTGCCTCGGTTTTCATGTCTGCAGAGTGGGTATAACAGCAGTAGAATCAGAGGGTTGTTATAAGGATCAAATGATGTAAGGTTTAAGGGTGTTTGGAGCAACGTCCAACACATAACAGAAAGTGTTCGATGGCTTCTACTACTACTACTGCTACTACTAATAGTTATTATTTCTTCTGCTGCACCACTTGGCTTCTCAGCACCTTCCTGCAGGGGAGGGGCGGGGGGGGGAGAAAATGTCCCTGTGATGCCTCCTTGTGGTCCCTCTCCCTTCTTACCTTTCCCTTTCCCTTGCCTACTCCATTCCAGTCACACCAGCGTCCGTCCTCACTGTTTCTTGAACATAACCGGCCATGTTCTCACCTCAGGACCTTTGCACTGGCTGTTTCCTCTGCCTGGAACTCTCTTCTCTCGGATCCCCCCACGGCTCATCCCTCTCGCCTCCTTTATGGCTTTGCTCAAATGTCACCATCTCAGAGAGGCCCTCTTTGATCACTCATTTAAAAACCTCCCTGTGTGATTTTTTTTTTTTTGCCATAGCATTTATCACCTTCTAAGATACTGTATTTGGCTTCTTTTATTCCTTGTGTGACTTATTCCGTCCCTGTCTGACTCTGTCCACCTAGAATGTCAGCTCCAAGAGAAAAGAGGTTTTTATCTGCCTCTTCCCCTGCTGTGCCTTCAGTGCCTGGAACAGATAGCGTACTCAGGGGCTTTCTTGAATGAATGAATGCATGAAATGAATGAATGAATGAATGAATCTCCTTGGAGAATTCACATTCTATTTTTCCTGTTTTCCTAACACTATCATGACCTTACAAAATTGCTCCATCAGGGGGCGTCTGGGGGGGGGCTCAGTCTTTTGAGCGTCTGACTTCCGCTCAGGTCTCGATCTCGAGGTTGGTGAGGTCGAGCCCCACATTGGGGTCACTATTGTCAGCTTATCAGTGCAGAGCCTGCTTTGGATCTTCTGTCTCTCCCTCTCTGTGCCCCTCCCCTGCTTCCTCTCTCTCTCAAAAACAAAACAAATAAAAAACATTTAAAAAACTTAAAATTTGTTCTAGGAGTGTTCTAGAAATGTTCCATCTCAATCTGGGTGCCTGTTACTGGCTGCATTCAGGTCACGAAGCCCTGCGAGCTGTTCCCATGTGTGATGGGCGCACGTTGCTGTCTATATTTATGATCTAGTTTACGTAAACAACGAAATGGCATTTCTCCTGAGGTACCTTTTTGCTGTGCCCAGATTCAATAATATTGGTGAAGAAACACCAAAATCAGCCCTTTTGCTGTGGAAACGTATGAACATTTCTTCCTCTTGATGGGTATTCACATTCCGATATTTTAAACTGTAGAACTGGCCAGTGTCCTAACATTTCATTCCTTGGGTGCTCTAGAATGGCACCCCCTGATAAGATAGCCATTAGCCACGTGTGGCTATTTATATTTAAGTAAAGTTGAAAATGTTGGTGTGTCCCCCCAGGCCCCATTTCAAATTCTCCAGTAGCTGCTGTTGACCGGGTAGCAGTTAACCATGATTATTTATTGAGAAAGAGGGAGAGGGAGAGAGAGTGTGTGTGTGAGTGGGGGAGGGGCAGAGCGAGAGGGGAGAGAGAATCCCAAGCAGGCTCTGCACTGTCAGTGCAGAGCCCAGCGCAGGGCACCCGGGAACCCTGAGATCACGATCTGAGCCGAGGTCCAGAGTCCGTCGCCTCACGGACTGAGCCACTCAGGCGCCACGATCATGATCATGTTGTGACACTGTACTGTTCTAGAATCCCAGGATGCTAAGAAGCCTGCATTCCAACACTGTGATGTTCTGGAACCCCAGGATGCTCGGAGCTAGCGTCCTAACACTTGGGGCGTTCTAGAATTCCAGGGTGCTAACCGGCTGGCGTTCTGACCTTGCACGATTCTCGAAGGCCAACAGGCTTACCCCGCGAGGTCCAAGGTCAGACCGCGGGGCAGTTCCGAGGTCTCAACGTCGGCTGGTTTCCAAGCCGCGGGTGGGGGTCCCACACCCGAGGGTTCCAGGGGCCTGATTGCTCTCCTGACTTTCCACGCCTTTCTCTCCTGTTCAGGTGTCTGGAGCCTGGATGGAGAACGCGACTCTCAGCTACGAGTACGGGGATTACGCGGGGGTTCCGGACCTCCCCGTGGACTGCGTGGACGCCCCCTGCGGCTCCACCCACCCGCTGAGCACCGCCCCGTTCCTGCTCTACGCGGCCGTGTTCCTGGTGGGCGTGCCAGGCAACGCAGTGGTGGCCTGGGTGGCCGGGAGAGAGGCCCGCCGCAGGGCCGGCGCCACCTGGTTCCTCCACCTGGCGGTGGCGGACCTGCTCTGCTGTCTGTCGCTCCCCTTGCTGGCGGTGCCCCTCGCCCTCGGGGGCCACTGGCCGTTCGGGGCGCTGGGCTGTCGGGCCCTGTCGTCGGCCATCCTGCTGTCCATGTACGCCGGCGTGCTTCTCCTGGCCGCTCTCAGCGTAGACCTGTGCCTGGGGGCGCTCAGGCCCGGCTGGGGGGCGGCCGCCGGGCGGGCGCGCGGGGTGCGCGTGGCCTGCGGGGGCGCCTGGGCGGTGGCCGTGCTGCTCACCGCGCCCTCGGCCTTCTATCGCCGGCTGCACCAGGAGCACTTCCCTCGCCGGCTGCAGTGCGTGCTGGACTACGGCGGCTCCGCGGCGGTTGAGAACACAGTGACCGCCACCCGCTTTATCTTCGGCTTCCTGGGCCCGCTGGTGGTGGTGGCCGCCTGCCACGGCGCCCTTCTGTGCCGTGCGGCCCGACACCGCTGGCTGCTGGGCACCGCCGTCGTGGTGGGCTTCTTTGTGTGCTGGGCCCCCTACCACGCGCTGGGGCTGGTCATCACCGTGGCGGCCCCACACTCCAGGCTCCTGGCGCGGGCCCTGCGGGCCGAGCCCCTGGTCACCGGCCTCGCTCTGGCTCACAGCTGCCTCAATCCCATGCTCTTTCTGTATTTCGGGAGGACTCAGCTGCGCAGGTCACTGCCGGCCGCATGTCGCTGGGCCCTGAAAGAGTCGCAGAGCAAGGATGCAAGTGTGGCCAGCAAGAAATCCACCAGCCATGACCTAGTCTCGGAGGCGGAGGTGTAGGCTAGAAGGAGACGGGTTTGTGTTCTTCTGTCCAATTTCACAGCGCTAGCTTCAGGCATGGCTGGATCCAGGGGCTCAATGATATCATCGTTTATTTTCTGTATTCATTCAACATTCATTCGTTATGCACCTGCTATGTGTGAGGGCCTATTATAGGTGCCGAGGAAGTGGCAGTGATGGAAACAGACACCAATCCCTGCCCTCAGGGAGCTGACATTCTAGTGGACGAAGACAGACAACATTCTCATGGACGGAGACAGACAATAAGCAAAGGAAAAGTGAATATGGACTATATCAAGTTGTGATAAATGTTAAGAAATCTACAGGGGACAAAAAGGGCTGAGTGGGGCAGGGATATAGGTCAGCCAGGCAAGACCCGTTGGGTAAGGTGATATTTTAGCCAAGACCTGAGGAAGGGAGGGAGAGGTCATGCTTAAAGCATGCTAAGCACAGGGAGCGGCAAGTACAAAGGCCCTGAGGCACATTGTGCTTGGCATTATTCCAGGAAGATAAAGAGGCCGGTGTGGAGGGAGCAAGAGGGAAAGAAAGTGGGGTGAGACAAAGGGAGGGAGATAGTGGGGGCCGGATTTGAAAGCCTTTCAGGCCCTAGCAAGTGTTTGGGGATCCATGGGAATGTTCTGAGCTGTTTTATCAGCTAAAATACACAAGACCCAATAAATCTGAGTTTCAGGTAAACAATAAGAAAAGGTTTTTTTAGGGGCACCTGGTGGGCTCCGTCAGCGGAGCGTGTGACTCTTGATCTCAGGGTTGTGAGTTCAAGCCCCACACTGGGTGTAAAGATTACTTAAAAATAAAGTCTTTAAAAAACGTTTTTTTAAAAAAGGTTGTTTTTTTTTTTAGCATGAGTATGTCCTGTGCAATATTTGAGACATACTTTAAGAGTTGATTTGTTGTTTACCTGAAATTCAAATTTAAGTGAGCATTCTGTAAATTATTTGTGTATTTATTTTGAGAGAGTGCAAGCGGGGGAGGGGCAGAGAGAGGGAGAGAGAAAGAGAGAATCCCAAGCAGGTTCCGTGCTGTCAGTGCAGAGCCTGCTGTGGGGCTTGATCCCATGAACCATGTGATCATGAGCTGAGCCGAAAACCAAGAGCCAGACCCTTAACCGACTGAGCCACCCAGGCGCCCCTGTAAATTTTTTTTTTTTTAAATCTAAATCAGGCAACCCTCTTCTGAGCAGAGAAATGTCTTGATTTGACTTCGATTTTAACAGGATCCTTCTAGTTGCTGGTGGAGACGGGGCTGTGGGGGAGGGGCGGGGAGGGACACGAGGAGCTATTGCAACAGTGGAGACGACTGTAATAGTCTGAGCAAAAAGTGACAGTGACTTGGGTCAGGGTGAGAGCAGAGGTAGTGAGAAGGTGACATTATGGGTGTATTTTGAAGGAAAGGCTATGTCCGAGCTCCCTGGCTTGGCATTCGAGGCTTCTCCCACCGCTGGACCTGCCTACATTCTAGCTGTTTAGACCCTTGTAGCAGACAGAATAATGGCCCCTAATGAGGTCCACATCCTAATTCCCCTGAGCCTGTGACTATGTGACCTGCAAGAGAAACTTGCGTATGTGATTAAGGATCTTGGGGGCAGGGAGAGTATCCCAGATTATCTGGGTGGGCCCAGGGAATCATGAGGGTCCTTCTCAGAGGGAGGAAGTTGGGGGGGGTCGGTAAAAGTCAGTAGCAAGAGATGTAACAATAGAAGCAGATGGCAGTGACTGGAGACAGAATGTGGCCCCAGAAGGCGCTTGCCGACACCTTGATTTTAGACCTCTGACCTCCAAAACGTATGGAATACATGTGTATGGTTTTAAGTCACTAAATTTGTGATCACTTCTCACAGCAGCCACAGGAAACTCACACAGATCCTCTGAGCTAGATTATCTCATGCATCTGGGCCTCTCCCCCAAGCTGGTGCCATTGCCCAGAATGCCCTTTGCATCTGTGGTGCCCAATCTATTCAAATTCAAATGCATTCAAATACAAAATTCAGTTTCTCAGTTGCACTGGCTTCAATAGCCACAGGTCGCTGGTGGCTACCATATTGTGTGGTGCGGATATTGAACCTTTCCATCACTACTAGTTTTACTAGGCAGGGCTCCTCGAGAATCTCACCTGCTCATGTCTTTTAAGTCCCGAAGTAGTTGAAGTAGTGGCACTTAGATGAAGAGTTATTACTCTAGCACAGCCTCTTACACATAGTTTCTCCTTTACGGCAATTCCTACAACAACACAAGGAAGGAAGCAGAGATGCTTCATTTTATAAGCTGAGGCCCAGAGAGGGGAGGTCATTTGCCCACGATCACACAGCAATGCAATTATAGAGCTGAGATTTGATCCCACGTTCCCTTGACTCCAGTGCCCATGCTCGGAAAGAGAACCCTCTCTGATTCATTCTCCTCCAGATGAGGGGGTAGTGTTCTCTTCTCTGAGTTGAGTTTCTAGAACACAAGTTCCCAGGAAAACTGTGAATTCCCCAATGGGCAACAAGTGCGCCATTTTAATTTTTGTTTCTCTTCCACTCACCCCAGGCCTTAGAAACATCAAAATGATCTTTGTCTACACCCTGTTTTCCAAACAGGCCGTGAGCTCTCCAATGTGATTAGGATCTCTTTCTTCCTGTCTCTGTTTTCTTTATCTGGCACTGTAGGTCCTCAACCATACATATTTTATTGCTGGTGTTTCATTCAGGACTGATATGCATGAGTTATTAAGACCAATATGCCCTTGCAAAATGAATTATGCCCTGTGACAACTTACAGAGCATCATGAAAAGTTAGGGGAAATCCACTGGGGCCAGGTGCCATTTAGGAGAGATTTTCTTTGGCATGTTCATCAAAAGACTTTTGTGGCTTTTGGAATTTATTGTCATTGATTACTGTGTCAGCTTTCCTTTTTTTTGAAAGAAGAATAAATTTCACGTAAGCCTTCAAAGGTATTTCTGTGCTACCGGATCATTAAAAATAATCTTGCTTTTTGTTTTTTATAACATCCCCTTTTCTGTTCTTAATCTTGTTTGTTCTTTGAACACGTTGATTTCCTTATTTCTGATCAGCCAGGTTTTAAACTATTTTTCCAAGAACTAGTTCCAAGTTTTCTAACCCATTCCTAGTGCCGGTATTTTGTGACTCACATCTTGACTTTGTATTTGTTTACTTTCTCCCATTTTTCTTTAAAAATAAATTGTTCTTGGGGCGCCTGGGTGGCTTAGTTGGTTAAGCGTCCGACTTTCACTTAGGTCATGATCTCGCGGTTCGTGGGTTCGAGCCCCGCGTCGGGCTCTGTGCTGACTGCCGGCTCAGAGCCTGGAGCCTGTTTCAATCTGTGACTCCCTCTCTCTCTGACCCTCCCCTGCTCACGCTGTCTCTCTCTCTCTCCTAGAAATAAAACATTAAAAAAAAAATTTAAAAAAAAAATAAAAAAATAAATTGTTCTTTTTTGCAGATTTTAAGAAGTTCTTAGTCAGTTTCTTCCCCTTCTTTTGATAATGACACATGAATTGGCATCTCTGTGTTCAGATTGTTTTCAAAGGTTTATGATTACATCCAACTTCCCTCTTGACCTCCCAACTTGACGTCCAACACATAGCTGACTAATTCACTCGCAGTGAAACTCTGGTTTTCTCTCTGAGCCCTGCCCTCCTATTTTCCTGATCTCAGTTAATGGCAACCGCATATTTCCAGGCACATTAGGGATCCCTGATGGCTCATTCTATTTTAAGATATCCACGGGATCCCGTATGCCTCATTCTACCTTAAGATAGCCACAGAATCCGACTACTCCTTGCCATCCTCTCTGTCATCATCTTGGCCCACAATCTTTACTTTATTGGGTCAGTGGCCCCCCGTGGTCCTCTTTCCTCATCTCAATACCCTGTAGTCTGTTTCTCACCCACGAGCCAGAGGATTCTGTTAAAATCGAAGTCAGATCATGTCTCAGGTCTCTCCTCTGCTCAAATTCCTCTCATGGCTCCCATCTCCCTCAGATGAGAAGCCAAAATCCTCAGCATAGTGTACCCATCTCCCTTCCTTCTTTCCTCACCTCATTCCCTGCTGGTTCCCCCTCCCTCACTGCCTCCACACAAGCCTGCTTGCTGACCTTGGAACTATCAGCTTTGCTGCCATGGAAGTCTCTGCATTTGCTATTTCCTTTACCTCCAGGGAGCTCGCTTGCTGTCTCACGTTGTTTCATCTCTCTGCTCAAATGCTACTTCGTTGGAGGATCCTCTCTGATCACGCTACTTAAAATCACAGCACTCTTGGGGCGCCTGGGTGGCTTAGTCGGCTAAGCGTCCGACTTTCGCTTAGGTCATGATCTTGCGGTTCGTGGGTTCGAGCCCCGCATTGGGCTCTGTGCTGACTGCCAGCTCAGAGCCTGGAGCCTGTTTCAGAGTCTGTGACTCCCTCTCTCTCTGACCCTCCCCTGCTCACGCTCTCTCTCTCTCTCCTAGAAATAAATAAAACATTAAAAAAAATTTTTTAAAAAATCACAGCACTCTTTGCCCCTTTCCTGCTTTGTTTTTTTGTTCACTACTGTATGCTCAGTCAGTGTCTAGAACTGGGTCTAGAACTGAAGGCTGTACCTTCTCAATGGTGATATCTTATGACAGGAGAACATAACAATGAAAGCTCTAACATTTATTGAGTGCCTACTATGTACAGTAGTAAAAAAAAAAGCAATGCATTGCCTTATGTTTACATTTTCACTTACTTTCCCCAACAGTCTTGAAAAGTAGATATTATCCTCATGTTATAAATAGGGAAACTGAGGCTCAAACCCACAATGACTGGGGTACCTAGGACTAGTCATTTAGTCATTCATTCAACAGATATTTACCGACTCTCTGATCCTTGTGGTGGACGCTGGAGAACATGGGACCTATGCGACTTCCAGGGCTGGAATGCCCCCTGCCTTCAAGAGGCTGCGGAGTTGAGCTGATTGATTTATTAGTGCATTGCCAGGGTCAATTTTACGTTAGCAGAATCATGCATTAAAAATTATGAATCATAGTGACTAAATCGCGGGAGCGGTTTAATAGCGTCTGGGCTTCTGTTAGCTTTCTCCCTGGCGTCATGGCATCCCAGGTGCAAGTGACGGTCAAGGGGAGGGTAGAGTGAGCTGGGAGAAGGCGCTTCCAAGTTTCCACTGCGGCTACCACTCGCCCCTAGAGGGCGCAGCGTCACTCCTGGCTCCACTTGCCTAGAGGCGGAGCCGGAGCGTGCTGTGCGCAGGCGCAGAGTGGGTTTTGGACGCTCACAGTTGCGCACCGGCTTCTCTGCCCTCGGCGGGGTGGGGCCGGGCCCTGAACGCGGCGGCGTGCGCAGGCGTAGAACAGGCTTCGGGCGCGTGAGAGGCGCTGGGGACCGGAAGTCGAAGGGAACGCGGCCGGTTAGTGAGGTGAGGAGGGCGTGGCGGCTGCGCGGGGCCGTGGCGGCGACGGTGGCGCGAGTGGGACCGGGTAGGGTAGCGGGGGAGCGAGCCGAGGGGTCGAGAGGGAAAGCCCAAGACGAGGAAGTGTGTTGGAGGAGACAGAGAGGCCGAGAGAAGCGGACGGAGCTGGAGCCTGAGCGCCCCTGGAGTCCCGGGGCGAGACTGGAGGAAACGGGAATCACGAGGAGAAGCTTGGAGAAGCTGAGGGACTGAGAGACGGGGAGGTTGAGAGGATGAAAGCCGGAAACTGGAGAGATGGGGGGAGAGGAGGAGCCGATGGGGCCCCCCAGAGCGCCTTGCAGAAACTGCAGAGAAATGTGGTCGCACCATGAACTTGAGGTGGGGGTGGGGGGTGGGAGAAGAGTAGGAAGATCAGAGTGGAAATAGGTGGACCGAGAGAGACTTAGGACACGTGTTGGCCTTCAAAATAAAAGTCATCTTACTAGCAAAAATGGGGTTCACTTGGAGGTAATCAAGAGTTGCAATTTGAGACAAGCCGGCTACGGCAAAAGCCACAGGCTAGTCCAACAAGGGAGAAGAGAATTTGATGGAGGAGAGGGAGGACGTGGGGAGGGGTTGTTTTGAACGAAAGCCCTTTGATTTGGAGAAAGCAGGAATTCAGGGTGATGATGGCTTCTCATTGGCTGAGTTGCCAGGGTGGTCGATTTCTTTCGTTTTCGTTTTTTTTTTTTTTTTAAAGCACAAGAATTTTTTTTTTTTTTTTTTTAATTTGAGAGAGTGAGAGTGCAAGCGGGGTAGGGGACACAGAGAGAGAATCATGGGGCTCTATCCCTTGGCTCTGGGATCATGACGTGAGTGGAAATCAAGAGTTGGTTGCTCAACCCTCTGAGGCACCTGGGGGCTCCTGGGTGGTGGAGTTCTTGAAGATGCAACCGAACCTCCTTCCCTGTGGTGGCCTGTCACGGAAAATTCTTTGCTATGGACAGTTCTCTTGGAGCCTATAATAACAATTCTTTCACGTGACTGACCTTGCATGGTACCCCCAGAGAACTCTCCCTCACCCTTGTGGCCTCACAACTCCGACTTAGTGAGATGTCTCTTCATTAATTCACAAGACTGAGTCATGGGGAGAGACTGATACAGATCCAGAGAGATGGCAGAAGCGGAAACAGAGAAACTGGCAAGAGCTGACAGAGGGACTGAGAGGGGAAGAGCCAGCTGACGGAAAGAGCCGGAGGTGGGAAGTGAGTGAGATGGATGCTCTGATGAGGGCAGACCCACAGAGGGGGCCGTCAGTGGGGGTGGGGGGGAGAAATTCAATTCAATCAAATCCCTAGATTTGAATTCCTTGTCTGACTTGCCACGTGTTTAACCTGTCTTTGGTTCAGTACAATAGGGAGTGGTGATAGCACCTTCTGAACGTTAGGAGGAAACTGTAGGTGCGTGTATGTTTATAGTTGCACGTATACGTATGCACAGGTGATTTAGAATAGTACCTGATACATGAGCGAACACTAACTTATTAAAGCGCGCCAGACAACTGGGAGGCAAAATATTAGGTGGAGAAATGGAGATGAGGGTCGCCTGGGTGGCTCAGTCGGTTAAGCGTCTGACTTAGGCTCAGGTCATGATCTCACGGTTTGTGGGTTCAAGCCCTACATCAGGCTCTGTGCTGACAGCTAGTTCAGAGCCTGGAGGCTGCTTCTGATTCTGTGTCTCTCTCTTTCTGTGACCCTCCCCTGCTCACGGTGTCTGTGTCTCTCTCTCAAAAAAAAAATAAATGAATAAATTAAAAAAAAAAAGAAATGGAGATGAAGAAATAGTCATGATGGAGGGAGAGACTGGGAACCGGAGAGAGACCGAAACGGAGCATCAGAAACGAGGAAGAGCCAATGAGAAACGCAGATGGAGAACTGATGAGGAATGGAGAGGGTCAAAGGGAGAAAGATGGTTAGGGAGAATGTTAGGCCAGAAAATCGGAGAAACGAGAGACGGGACCAGGCTCTGAAGCAGAGGAAGAAGGCTGAGCGTGGTGAGCTGGAAGAGATGGGCTGAGACGTGAGGATGGACAGCCAGAGGAGGAAACCTCTGAAAGTCACCATCGAGAGGCCCGGAGACACAGTTAGGAGCAGCCAAAGGATCCCAGAAATCTACAAAGTAGCCTAAGAGATGGTTGTTGTTTTTAAATTTTTTTTTTAAATATTTTTATTTATTTCTAGGAGAGAGAGAGAGAGAGACAGCGTGAGCAGGGGAGGGTCAGAGAGAGAGGGAGACATAGACTCAGAAACAGGCTCCAGGCTCTGAGCCGGCAGTCAGCACAGAGCCCGACGCGGGGCTCGAACCCACGAAGCGCGAGATCATGACCTAAGCGAAAGTCGGACGCTTAAACGACTAAGCCACTCAGGCGCCCCTGTTTTTAATTTTTTTAATGTTTTATTTCTGAGAGAGAGAGACAGCATGAGCAGGGGAGGGTCAGAGAGAGAGGGAGACACAGAATCCGAAACAGGCTCCAGGCTCTGAGCCAGCTGTCAGCACAGAGCCCGACATGGGGCTCGAACCCATGAACCGTGAAATCATGACCTGAGCTGAAGTTGGACACTCAACCGACTGAGCCCCCCAGGCGCCCTGAAATTGTTGTTTTTTAAGATTTTATTTTTAAGTAATCTCTCCATCCAATGTGGGACTCAAACTCACAACCCTAAAATCAAGAGTCACGTGCTCCATCGGCCGAGGCAGCCAGGCGCCCTGAGAAGAGACCGCCGGAGAGCCATGGTTTCTGCTCAGTTGGGCCCACGTGCACACAGGGAGTTTGCAGCCTCCCCGACAACACGAATTCCATCTGGAGCCACTCAAGCATCACCAGCCCGGGTGTTTACGATGTGCCCAGGCACCTGTTCCCGTGGGAAACCACTCTGTCAGCTCGCAAGTGCATCCTCCTCTGCAGAAACCCCTCTTTGGCTCTGATAACTCCCAGGGATGGCCTGAGTGCCCCATGAGACCGCAGCGGTCGAATCAGTTCCGTGATGGCCCCCAGAGACAAGGCAGAGTAAGAGAAAGCATTGCTAATTCCACACGAAGGCCGGTGGTGGCCTCTTGAGTGTAATTTTCCCGCTGACAGACCCCTGATTCCTCTTGCTGTTTTCCCTCTGTTAGCCATCACGGAAAGACAGACTGGACTTGAATTCTAGTTACTATTTTGCTCCTCCATGCCAGGCTAGGCAATCAGTGCTGCAGTGTTGGGAAGGTGGTATTGTCTCCATTTTATAGACAAAGTTAATTTGCCAGTGGTCACACACCTAAAGATGCAGCAGACATTCGAACCCAAATCTGCTTGACCCCAAAAGATCAGGCTTCAAAGCCTCTGGATCCTTTGAAGGTCATAAACGTTAAGAATCTAAGCGATGAACTTCAGAAAATGGTATGTACAAGGATGTTGCCGTCTGTTATTAGGACTTCTGCGGCTGCCAGTCGAAAACCGAATTTGGAGCAAAGACGTTTTCTCGTGTAGCCGGGAAATGAGGGCTGGAGGGAACTAGGTCTCCAGCACGAAATGACGCTGCCAGCCTTGTCCGCTCTCCCTCCCCCCACCTCTGTGTTTGAAGTTGCTCAGTGGCCATTCTGGTGTGTGCTTTACTGTGCCCACGTGTGGGCATTCCTCTAGGACGTATTTCTAGAAAAGACAATCCTGTGTAAGAGCTGCCACAGACTCCTCTGTGTTTATATCATCCTTGCAGAGCCCGGATAGATAACACTAGGGCTTTTCTCTCCTGGCAACCTAGCCGTAAACTTCCTGAGAAAAGCCATGACTGGCTCTCCACGGATCACGAGTCCACGTCTCACACCAATCAGTGGGTGAAGGAGGAGCAGGGGACCGTGATTGGCCAGATGTTTGTTGCTTCTGTAATCAATAGGAGTTCTCCCACTTAAAGGCTGTCAGAGCCTTTGTGGGATCCAGGAAGGGCTGCTCTTCAAAGGAGGGTGAGTGCCGTTAACGGAAAAGGAAGGAGGAGATTGCCAGACCGGCAGAAAGCAGGGCATAAGAGAACACTTGCAAAATTGTGCGCTTGATTTCAAAGGGTTCCTAGGTGTCCTGAAGCCCAGTGGACCCCAGATTAAGAACTGCTGCCTAGGGGCGCCTGGGTGGCTCAGTCAGTTGAGCGTCCGACTTCAGCTCAGGTCATGATCTCATAGTTGGTGGGTTCGAGCCCTGCAACAGGCTTGCTGCTATCAGCGCAGAGCCTCCTTCAGATCCTCTGTTCCCCTCTTTCTCTGCCCCTGCCCCACTCATGCTTTTGCGCTCTCTCTCTCTCTCTCTCTCTCTCTCTATCTCAAAAATAAATATTTTAAAAAATGAACTCTTGTTTTTATACCCCACCTTGTGTTACTGCGGCTCATGATGGCCAGTGACCTACACTCCTTCAGAATTCTCTGAAGATCAGACGTCTCTGGGGACCCTTCCCTGACTCCCAAGCAAGGTCAGGCAGCTCCTTTGGGCTCCCACAGCCCAGTCACTGGATTGTCCGGTGAAATTTCTGTCCCTCGCATGGGACCAGGACCACCTGTGAGGGCTCAGGGTGGCCTTCCTCGTTACCATCCATCCTCTGTGCCCCATGTTTGCGAAGCCACAGCCTTTCAGGAGATGCTTCTAAAAACGAATGTCTTCTGTTCTCTCCTCCAGGCATTCGGGGCCGGGAAGACCCAGGATGGGCTTGTGTTTGTCACACAGATCACTGCAGGACTCGTGAGGCGCCCTGTGTGTCACCAGCTTGCCCTGGGCCCCTGGCCACTTGCTGTGTCGTTGCCTGTCATCGTCCCGTGCCATCTGTGCGGAGCAAACTTGGCTTTTTGAAGAGAAAGGGTTCCTCCTCGCGGGCATTGGGCTCTCACTGCACCTTTGAGACCACATCGTGAATGCCCGGGACATGCCGCCTCCCAGAACGACGGAGGGCAGGGATGATAGAGGCCGACCCTGGGATCCCGGTGAGGAGGAGGCCCCTGGGAAATGGGACTGGAACTGCCCAGAGACCCGCCGCCTCTTCGAGGACGCCTTCTTCCGTGATGAGGATTATATCCGCCAGGGTTCTGAAGAGTGCAAGAAATTCTGGACCTTCTTTGAACGCCTGCAGAGATTCCAGAACCTCAGGAGCTCCGGGAAGGGGGACAGGGACCCTGGGCGGCCCAGGCACAGCAGCCCGGCGCTGGCCAACCTGCCTCACGCTTACGACCCCCGTTACCGCATCAACTTCTCGATCGTGGGCCCCGATGCTTGGGGCCCACGGGGGCTGGGCCGGCCGCCCCCGGGGAGAGTGGCCGAGTTCCGCCGAGCCCTGCTGCACTACCTGGACTTCAGCCAGAAGCAGGCGTTTGGGCGATTGGCCAAGCTGCAGCAGGAGCGGGCGGCCCTTCCCATCGCCCAGTACGGGGCCCGCATCCTGCAGGCCCTGAAGGAGCACCAGGTGGTGGTGGTGGCGGGGGACACGGGCTGCGGCAAGTCCACACAGGTGCCACAGTACCTGCTGGCCGCTGGCTTCAGCCACGTGGCGTGCACCCAGCCCCGGCGCATCGCCTGCATCTCCCTGGCCAAGCGCGTCAGCTTCGAGAGCCTCAGTCAGTATGGTTCGCGGGTGAGTGGGACCTGACCGGCTTTCCGGCTCCTCCCGGCCTGACGCCGAGGCTTAGGTTGGTGCCTGTCAGGCAGTAGCCTTAAGAGTCCCCAGAGCACTTAGCAGTGATACCCTTTGACTCAGCGATGAGTCTTCTAGAAATTGATCCACAGACGGACCCGGATATGGTTCAAATGAGAAAGCCCCTAGCATTCCCCTTCAAGGGAAAAAAATTGGAAGTGTCTTTAAAAAAGAACGAGGACTCTTCTTTTTTTGTTTTTAATTATTTTTTTAATGTTTATTCGTATTTGAGAGAGAGACCGAGCATGAGCAGGGCAGTGGTGGAGAGAGAGGGAGACACAGAATCCGAAGCCGACTCCGGGCTCTGAGCTGCTGGCACAGAGCCTGACGCGGGGCTTGAACTCACTGACCATGAGACCATGACCTGAGCTGAAGTGGGACACTCAACCAAGCCCCCCAGGCGTCCCTCTAGGGTTCTAATCCAGGCCGTACCACTTAAAAATTGTCATTCCAGTTATAATACTCTGAACAGAAAAATGTACGTACCCTAAGTATGTAGCTCAGTGAATATTCACAGATTGAATTCATTGATGTAACCAGCACCCAGATAAAAAATTCCAGTTTGTGCTCCAAACGGGGCCACGTCCCACAGTGTCCCCAACACTTGTTATGGTTAGTCTTTCTCATGTTAGCTTTTCTGGAGTGGGCGCATAGTGGTGTCATGTTTTAATTTGTATTTGTTGCTTTTATTTTATTTTTATTTTTTGGTTTATTTTTTTTGTTTTGAGAGAGACAGAGCCAGTGGGGGAGGGGCAGAGAGAGAGGGAGAGAGAGAGAATCCCATGCAGGCTATGCACTGTCAGCTCAGAGCCTGTGCGTTGTTGATTTTAATTTGCATTTCATTGGCCATTTGGAGATCCTCTTTTCTGAAGTGTCTGTTCAAGTGTTTTTCCCTAGTTGTCTTTTTGTTCTCAATGTATAGGGTTTTATAGATTCTGGAGAAGAGTCCTTTGTAGGGTTTATGTATTGCAGATCTCGTCACCTGCCCTGTGAGTTGTTTTTCATTTTCTGAATGGTGTCTTTTGATGATGGCGTCTTTTCATTTCAATGTTATCCAGTCTGTCATTGTTTTTTAATGTTTATTTTTGAAGACAGACAGAATGCGAGTGGGGAGGGGCAGAGAGAGGGGGAGGGGCAGAGAGAGAGGGAGATGCAGAACCCAAAGCAGGCTCTGAGCTGTCAGCGTAGAGCCCGATGCAGGGCCTGAACTCATGAGACCTGACCTGAAGTCAGATGCTTAACCGACTTAGCTACCCAGGCGCCCTGTCATAGTTTTTTAGAAGCTGTTTTTTAAAAAATGTTTATTTTGAGAGAAAGTGCGTGTGTGTGTGAGCAGGGGAGAGGGAGAGAGAGAGAGTCCTCAGTAGGCTCCATGCCACCAGCACAGATCAAGATCAAGATCAAGAGTCACATGCTCCATTGACTGAGCCAGCCAGGTAGCCCTGTCCTTTTCTTTTTATGATTGGCACTCTTTGGGTTCTGTTTAAGGAATTTTACTACTCTGAGGCCCATAAAGACATCCTATATTTTTTCGTAAAGATTTTTGCACTTAAAGCCGTAATTTATCAGAAATGGAGGTGTGTGTGCATGCATATACACGTGCGTGTGCAGGTGTGTGATGTGGGGTAGGGGTTAAGGTCATTTTCCTCTTAAGGGGCGCCTGGGGGGCTCAGTCCATTAAGCCTCTGACTTAGGCTCAGGTCACGATCTCACAGTGTGTGGGTTCGAACCCTGCGTCGGGCTCTGTGCTGACAGCTTGGAGCCTGGAGCCTGCTTCCGATTCTGTGTCTCCCTCTTTCTCTCTCTGCCCCTCCCCTGCTCACACTCTCTCAAAAACATAAATAAAATATTAGAACATACACACACAGATCGTGTCCTCTCAATACCACTTTTTAACTGTGTTGTACCTTGGAGGCGTGACCTCAGTTTCCCCACTGGTGAGGTGAGAAGAGTGGTTCTTGCTTCTCAGGGTGTCCGTGAGGGTGGCACACATTCAGTGCTTCGAGTAGTTCCAGGCAGAGTAGGGGCTCCGAGAAAGGGGAACGGTTGCCGTTATAATCGGTCGGTATTAGCTGTACACCTGGCTCTATGCCCAATACCTATGTGCGTCAGCACATGCTGTTGTTACCTAGGGGACGAGGTGTCTCTGAGGGATGGGACTGCTCGCCTGGGGCCGGTGGCACTCAGTGTCCGAGGTGGCCTCTGGACCCCGGCGTGCGGGGCTCCAGAGTTGGATGGGGGCGGGGCATTGGCTCAGATTTTCTGGATCCGGGCCCGAGCTCCCCTCCTGATCGCCACTCCCGCCCTCAGGTCGGCTACCAGATCCGCTTTGAGAGCACGCGGACGGCGGCCACCAAGATCGTGTTCCTGACGGTGGGGCTGCTCCTGAGGCAGATGCAGCAGGAGCCCAGCCTGCCCCAGTACCAGGTGCTGATTGTGGACGAAGTCCATGAGCGCCATCTGCACAACGACTTCCTGCTGGGCGTCCTGCGGCGCCTGTTGCCCCAGCGGCCTGACCTCAAGGTCGTCCTCATGTCGGCCACCATCAACATCTCGCTCTTCTCCAGCTACTTCGGCGGGGCGCCTGTGGTGCAGGTGCCAGGGAGGCTGTTCCCCATCACGGTCAGTGCCACCCCCACGTTCCCCAACCCCCCCACCCCCCGCCCGCCCTCCGGCCAACCCGGATTCATCCCGTCCCCTCTGTCCCGCTCAGACTCCCACCGTGCAGTTAAGGACAGTGTTGCTCACGCGCTCTCAAAGCTCCCATTTCCCGAACGCTCCCTGAGTGCTGCCCTGGGTGCCCATCGCGTGCTGCAGGGGACCGGAAGGGGGAAGGTCACAGGTCATCCCTCTCGTGTGACAGCCGTGCTGGTCCAGGCCGGCGGGCAGCTCTGTTCTGTGCGGTTGCTCGGGGACCCGGGCTTCTCTTTCCTCCTGTTCGCCCATCTCACGGGATGGGTTTTCTCCATCCATCTCCCGGCGGCTACTTCTGCCCTGGACTTTGCCCCATTTGCTCGGCGTATTGGCTGGGGCTTGCGGACACATGTCCTCAACAATCATAGGGAAGCTGGTGACAGCTGACATTGGCTGAGCCTGACCGCGTGCTCTGCCGCCGACACAGAAGAGCTCAGGGAGTGGCTTCCCGCCTGGCGTCTGGCGTCCCGTCGGCCCTTCAAGACGGTCTGCACCCGCTCTCTTTTTGTGTGTGGTTTTTTAAAAATTTTAACCGTTTATTTATTTTTGAGAGAGTGAGAGAGAAAGACCGTGAACAGGGGAGGGGCAGACAGAGAGGGAGACATAGAATCGGAAGCGGGCTCCAGGCTCTGAGCTGTCACCACAGAGCCCAACCCGGGGCTAGAACTCGTGAACCCCGAGATCATGACCGGAGCCCAAGTTGGCTGCCCAACCAGCTGAGCCCTCCAGACGCCCCCATCTCAGGTTGCGCTCCTGGCTCTGCCCTTTGAAACTCTGATGTTGTTGAAGTTTCCCTCCAGACCCGAAAGAATACACACACACCACGCGTAAAGCTCAACTGATTTTCCCAAATCACGTAGCCTGGATGACACGACCAGCACCTGGAAGCTTTCCAGTTACCTCGATGCTCTGCCCTTCGATGGCACCCTCCTCAGATTGACCTGGTTGGGGGTGCGGCCTGCCACCTGACTGATCCCTGGCGGCCGGGGCGGGCCGAGCGCTTGGGTGACTGGGTGCCCCCTGCCCGGGGTCTCTCCCCGCAGGTCGTGTACCAGCCACAGGAGGCCGAGCCGCCGGCGCCCAAGTCGGAGAAGCTGGACCCTCGGCCTTTCCTGAGGGTGCTGGAGGCCATCGACAACAAGTACCCGCCCGAGGAGCGGGGCGACCTGCTCGTCTTCCTCAGCGGCATGGCCGAGATCAGCGCGGTGCTCGAGGCGGCCCAGACCTACGCCTGCCGCACACAGCGCTGGGTGGTGCTGCCGCTGCACAGCGCCCTCTCGGTGGCGGACCAGGACAAGGTACGGCGGGGTGGGGCGGGCGGCGTCTGACCAGGTTGGGGGGGGAAGGAGGGTGTCCGGGATGTGATTCCACCAGGGCAGGGCTGCGGGCCCAGAGGGGTGCTCGCGCCATCCTGGAGGAGAGGGGAGTACACGCCAGGGCGAGCCTCCATGGGAGGCCCCGGAGCTGAGCGTTGAAACACCAGGAGGATTCTGGGTAGGAGAGGGAGGAAGGCCATCGGGGTGGGGGCGGGGGAGGCCCAACCTCCAGCAGAGGTGTGGAGGTGGGAATCGGCGAGCCTCTTGTGGGGAGGGGTGCCGGGAGGAGGCTTTTGGGTCACTCTGTCAGTTATTTGTTGCTGTGTGACAAATTACCTCCCCCCCAAACTTGGCCGTTTGCAGCAGTAAGTATCGGCCATCTGGCGTCGTCTCTGAAGGGCGGGGCCTGGGGAGAGGCGTAGGGCACTCTGGGCCCTCCCAGGAGCACAGGTCCCATGGTGGCTGGGGCCGCTGCCATCGGAGGGCTTGACTGGGGCTGGAAGGTCCCCTCCAAGATGGCTCGGGGGCTGTTGGCTGGGGGCCACAGTGCCCCTCCTGGCTCGCTGAGCGTTCTCCCAACACGGCCCCTCCCCAGGGGACCACAGCGGAAGCCGCAACGTCTTTTAGGGCCTCGCCTTGGAAGTCACAACCCTCGGTAGCCTGCCCGTTCGAGAACCTGGTCTGCTCTGTCCATGGCACAGGTTGAGGGTGTGAATCCCAGGAGGCGAGATGCATAGGGACCCACGTGGAGGCCGACCACCACCCTCACGTTGGTCGCATACCCTGAGTCCCTTCGGTCCCGCTCAGTTGTTTGCTGATTGAAGAAACAACCTGTGAGCGCCTCCTTACTGCTTTCCCTTGCACCTCAGCGGCTCCTTGGGACACACCGGGAGCCGCGATGTGGCTTCCCCTCAGTAGCTGTTGGGGGAAAGGGCAAGCAGCCGGTAATTTATAGGTGGTAGAGGAAGGCTCTGGATATGCGAGAGCACAGTCCTAGTGGATTCAGGGAAGCCTTCCTGGAGGAAGCAGTTTCCCAAAGTGAGACCCAAGAAAGCCCCAGTCTAGGAAGGGGGCAGGGGGAAGAGCGCCCCAGCTAATGCTGCTGCGTGCTGGCCGGAGTTCTGAGTTCCGCATGCGCCTTGCCTTGTCTAAATTGGTTTTTTAACCTTTATCCGTTTTTGAGAGACTAGTGAACGGGGGAGGGGCAGAGAGAGAGGGAGACACAGAATCAGAAACAGGCTCCAGGCTCCCAGCTGTGAGCACAGAGCCCAATGTGGGGCTTGAACTTACAGGCCTCGAGATCATGACCTGAGCCGAAGTCGGATGCTTAACCCATTAAGCCACCCAGGCGTCCTCCTCACCTTATCTAGCCCTCCCAGCGGCTGCGGCTGCCACTGTTATTACCCAGAACAGACGCGGATCCAGAGGCCAAGGCACCTGTGCAAAGTCACATGCGCGGCAGAGGCAGCTTTGGAACTGAGTGGTTTGGTACCGGAGCCCATGCTCTGAACCAGAGAGGACCAGGGAGTACAGAGTGGGAGGTTTTGGGAGTTGGTTTGTCTCTGGCTCAACTACTCAGTTCCACCGCTAGGGTAGGAAAGCAGCCATAGACTGACAGGAGAGGCTGTGCTGTGTTAACAGTTGATTTACAACAGGCAGGAGGCTGGATCGGGCCCCCAGGCCTAGTTGCTGACCCCCTCTTGACCACTGTGCTTGACTGTCCCTTGGGCGCAAGAAAAGTGCTCGTGCAAAGGGCCTGCGGTGGGTGAGGGAGAGGCAGGGCCGCTGGGAGACCAGGCTGTGATGCGGAAAGCAGGCCTAGACCACAGGGCTCCTAAGGGCCCAGTGTGGTGGCTGGGTTTCGCCCCGAGGGCACCTGGGAGCCACAGGAGGCTTCTGAGCGAGGTGGAGAGCAGTGCCAGCTTGCTTCAGCAGATCCCTCTGCTGTGTGTGATCCCGGACCAGAGAGCGGGGAGGAGGCCGGAGCAGGACCCGGGTGGGGAGGAAGGGCCCAGGCCAGGGCAGTGCTGTGGTTTTGGGGAGAGGGGAGTACATACATTCCATAAATGTTTGAGATGTGTGGGTGTGGCTGGCGGGGGAGGGGAGAAGGAACACCAGGACAGCCTAGGTTTCTGGCCCACGGGGCACGGTGGATGCTAAGCCACCTCCGAGATGGGGACTCGGGAGAGGGAGTGTCCCGTGGAAGCCGCAGAGGCTATTCTATACATCGCGGGTGGGTGTGAAGGGCCTGTGGGCCCATCCAGAGGGCGACAGAGAGGCCCTCCCCCCTCCCCGGTCAGGAGGGGCTGAGGTAGCCTGGGCTGTCACTGCCTCACCTTTGCCCAAAGGTGTTCGATGTGGCCCCCCCTGGAGTCCGGAAATGCATCCTCTCCACCAACATCGCTGAGACTTCAGTCACCATCGATGGGATACGTTTCGTAGTAGATTCTGGTAAGGGCTGCTCCCGGCCGCCACCCCCAGACCTAGAGGGAAGTGTGGGGTTCGGAGATGGGCGAACGTAGTGAAGGACCTCCAGACCGAAGCGGGGAGTAGTTGGCCTTCAGGGCTGCAGAGCAGTGGCAACATCATAATCCTCAGACATTCCAAACTTGTCCCTGCCTCGGGCCCTTTGCACTTACTGTTGTCCCCGCTGAGAGTGATCTTTCTCCACATGTCCGCAGGGCTCACTCCCTCATCTCACTGCAGGGCCTGTGTAAATGTCTCCCCATCAGAGAGACCCACCTCATCCACTTTTGTGATCTCCCTCTCCTCCTGCCGCCATGGTCTCCCTTACGAGTCACTGTTTTCCCTCAGAGTACGGGCATGATATTTTACATCCGTTGATCTGTTTAGTTTTTGCCTTCTGTTCTCTGGGAAATCAGCGTCACATAGTGGTGAGGAGTCACTGGAGCAGCCTGGCTGCGTGACCGGGGTCGTGCTTTACTGACGCCGTGTTCGTCAGTGTGCTCGTTGGTAAAATAGGCAGTAGTAGCAGAGCCTCCTTCAGGTTGTGAGGGTTAGAGTTTAAACATTTCAAAACACTTTTTAACGTTTATTCATTTTTGAAAAGGAGTACTGGAGTGCAAGCAGGGGAGGGGCAGGGAGGGGAGAGAGAGAATCCCAGGGTGGCTCTGTGCTGACGTCAGCACAGAGCCCAATGCTGGCCTCGAACCCACAAACCGTGAGATCGTGACCTGAGCCAAGAGTCAGATGCTCAACTGGCCGAGCCCCCCAGGCGCCCCTAGAAGCAGTGTTCGTTGAACACTGACATGCCGTTGCCTTCAGGGTGCCCCCCTCTCAGAGACGGGGAATCGATGCACTGTGTTCTGTTCAGCCCGTGAGGGTGGGGACTTTGTTCACGGCTACGCCCGGCCCGTGCCCGGCCCCTGGCAGGTGCTCACTAATACCGGGTGGATGGCTGGGCTTCCGAGGGCACAGAGGCTGGGACAGGAAGAAGACACAAAGGGTAGGTCAACGACACGTCAGGGTCGCGGCCACAGTGAGCTCTGGGTCGGTGCTGATGGAGTAAAGGAGGAAGCGCGGGTGTCCGGGAGCCGGTGGCAAGGTGGAGGGCCCGCACGGCCACCGCACACACAGTGTCCCCCCTTTCCCACCCCTCCCCCCAGGGAAGGTGAAGGAGATGGGCTATGACCCCCAGGCCAAGCTGCAGCGGCTGCAAGAGTTCTGGATCAGTCAGGCCAGCGCCGAGCAGCGCAAGGGCCGGGCGGGCCGCACGGGCCCCGGCGTCTGCTTCCGCCTCTACGCCGAATCGGACTATGATGCCTTCGCCCCCTACCCTGTCCCCGAGATCCGGAGGGTGGCCCTGGACGCGCTGGTGCTGCAGGTGAGGCGCGGGCCAGGAGGAGCCTGGGGGGACCCTGACGGGACCGGTGCCAGAGTTTCGGAGCAGGAAGGGCAGGGCTGGCTGGGCTGTGGAGGGGGGCTCTTCCCTTCCAAGTGTGTGTGGGGGGGTTGCCCCCCCTGGATCTACAGGCTCATGGGAGAAACCTCGTGATGCCATTGGGAGAGCTTTCAGCTGTCAAAGAAAACCCATCAACAGGTGGCCTGTAAAATGGGGGTATCGCCACATGTTTTATGTCACGACTCTTAATTAGTGAGCTTTGATTGGATTAGGCTGCTGGATGCAGTGGGCGTGATCACGGAGTGGCCAGGGTCACAGAGGTGGAGTTCTCGGGTGGGGTGGGGGGCAGTTTTATGTGAGAGGATCCACGCCCCCTCCCTGTGCTCCTCCACCATCATCCTGCTGGTGAGGGTGAGGGCGTGGGAGGGTTTGCGGGTCCCTCTGTCCCCCTTGCCCTGGTGAGCGCCGCGACCTGTGGCCACACCTCACCTGGGGACCCTGGCCAGCATAGGCTCTGTGGTCCGCAGAAGACGAAAAGCTGAGCGAGGTGGGGAGGGCGGATGGCTTCCACAGCAGGTCCCCCCCAGGAGTGGCCAGTGGCACAGGCCACTCCCCTTTCTGTGCATGATGCACTATGATAGTTTCTTTTTCATTTCATTTTTTAAATTTATTATTTAAAAATTTTTTTTAATGTTTATCTTTGAGAGAGAGAGAGAGCATGAGGGGGGAGCGGGGGCAGACAGGGAGACACAGGATCCAAAACAGGCTCCAGGCTCCGAGCTGTCAGCACAGAGCTGGATGCAGGGCTCGAACCCACGAACTATGAGCTCATAACCTGAGCTGAAGTCAGAAGCTTGACTGAGCCCCCCAGGCGCCCCTAATTTAAAGTTTTGTGTTTTTTTTTAATCTTTTTTAAAATTTATTTCTAGGAGAGAGAGAGACAGCGTGAGCAGGGGAGGGTCAGAGAGAGAGGGAGTCACAGACTGAAACAGGCTCCAGGCTCTGAGCTGGCAGTCAGCACAGAACCCGACGCGGGGCTCGAACCCTCGAACCGCGAGATCATGACCTAAGCGAAAGTCGGACGCTTAACCGACTAAGCCACCCAGGTGCCCCTAATTTAAAGGTTTTTAAATGAGAACTGAGTGTTGTCCACGCGTTATCAAGGTTTGGGGAGCAGGGGGGAAGGTGGACAGGCTGGTTGCCGGGTGGGTGTCCCAGAGCTTGTATTGCACCCTGCGCCCCGGAAGAGGCCCAGGCGAGCAGGTCACCTCTTTGGGAGGCTGACCGAGCCCCCCAGGCCCTCTGAGCTTTCCTCGTCCTCTCCCACGGCCACGCGAGCCTCCGTGCCAGCCTATCCCTCACCTGCTTCCTAGAGTGGTTGACGGTTTACGGCTTGTCAGGCCCGGCGGCTGGCGGGTGTTTCGCATCAATGTCCCCACAGCCTACCGCCCCCTGGGCTGCTGAATTAGGGTTCTTTGGTCCACGGCGAGAGAAACCCAGCTCAAGCCACCGTATGCAGGAGAGGGGATTTCACGAGGTGCCGCATCCTTCGGGGTCGGGGGAGGTCTGGCTTGGGAACGATTAAGGACTCCTCTGTCCGCTGTTGCGGGCTCACCTCTGGGCGCCCTCGCTGGACAAGTGGCCCAGCAGCTCCGGGCTTCCACACTGGCCCTTCACGACCAGAGAGGATGATGGCTGGACCTCCCTCTGTCAGCCTCGGTGGGCAGAGTCCTGGGGAGGATCCCGATGGGACCTGCTCAGGGCACGTGCTCCCTCTTCGCCGGTTGCTGTCGAGGGGCTAAGAACCCCACATGGGTCTAGCTCAGGGCACATGGCTGGCTCTGTGGCCAGGGTCTCGGAGAAGACCGCATTGGGTCCACAGACAGACAGTGTGATGGGCCTTGACATTGAGAGTTTTGAGGTATTAGGAGCTTGTGATCCATGAGCCCCCCTGACAGTGCCCCACAGTGGCTCCTGCATCCCTGTTCCCGGGGGACTCCGCTGTCATTCCAGATGAAGAGCATGAGCGTGGGGGACCCGCGAACCTTCCCCTTCATCGAGCCCCCACCACCGGCCAGCCTGGAAACGGCCATCCTCTACCTCCGGGACCAGGGCGCCCTGGACAGCTCAGAGGCCCTCACCCCCATCGGCTCTCTGCTGGCCCAGCTTCCTGTGGACGTCGTAATCGGTGAGGACCTCCTCTGGGGGCGATCACGCAGGGCCCCCGAGCGGCCGGGGGACCGCTCACGCTCTGGGTGACCCGTAGGCAAGTGCGTTCCTTCACAGGTCTCCGTGCCTGGTTCTGTGCTGGGCCCCGGGAGTTCAGGAGGCCACGGACGGGCACCCCTCCTCCACACAGCCTGTCCCCAGCTCCACCCCGGTGTCCTCTCTGCGGGTGTCATAAGGGTGTCAGTACCTCCTACCTCTTCCTGCTCGTTTCTGAGAAGTTCGTGACCGAGGTTCGTGGTCTGATTCTTGTGACTCAGCGACGTTGCTTGTGGCCCACGGACCATCCCCCGGCAGAGCATGGCTCTTCGTGGCGCCATTTTCAACAGAATCCCCTGCTTGTGTTCATGTCAGGAAGGTCCCCATCACTGCCACACCCTGGGGCTGTGGCGGGGACGCCGGGCTGCATACAAGCGACCCCGAGGACCTCTCGTGGTTGGGAAGCTGGTTCTTATCATTTGTTTTAGGAGACGGGCCGAGAGCAGGGGAATCAGACCTGAGAAGAAAGGGAATGTTCCGAGAGCTCTGGTTGTGTCTCAGTGAAAGGCTTTACGGGCCTTCTGTGGTTTCATGCTCACCTGGTGAGGGGAGGGCCTCCAGTCACCTGCTCTGTGGTGGGGGAGTTGACGCTTGGCCAGGGACAGAGGTACACGCTCCGGGGCACGGAACAAGGCAGTAGGGCCTGGATTTGATCACGCACTTGCACAGGGTCACGCGGTTGGCAGAGCCGGGAGGTGCTCCCCAGCCACACCGCCCTGTGGGGCAGGAGGTGCAGATAACCCTGGGCCCGGTGGCTCCATCGCCGTTCTCACTCTGTGCCGGCCGGAGCACCGCGTGTTTCACAGGACCATGGTTCAGTCTCCTGGCAGGCAGATGGGCTGGGCCCATTTCCCAGACGGGGAAATGGAGGCACAGAGAAGTAGAGTGGCTCGTCTCAGGGACAGAGCTACAGGGTTCTGGGACAGCCTCGTTTTATTGCCCACCTGCATTGTACAAGGCTAGACGTGTTACTGGAACTTTCCAGAAAGGCGGCCCAGGGGAATGGTGAGGGTGTCAGATGCATGATATGCAGGCCACTGACTGTGGGGCCAGAGCAGGGAAGGGCTCGGTTCCTGCTGAAGAGCACTCTCTACCCCCCTTCCCCCGCCCCCATCATCTCCACCTTGCGTGAAACGAGGATGGCAGGGCAGGGTTCATCCTGAGGTGGCACATGGAGCCCGTGCTGTGCCAGGCAGGCCGTTTACCGCTCGCGTGGACTCCCATCCTAGAGGGAGGAGAGGGATACCGTGGCGGGGAGGCAGAGTGTGTGCCAGGAAGGGAAATAAAGCTAGGAGGGGGCGGGGTGCAGGGGAGCCAGTTGTAGGGAGGAGAGCCGGGTGGGCGGGGCCGCTAGTAGCAGCTACCCCTTCGTGCCCCCCTCGTGCCCCAGGAGGCGGGAACTGCAGTGACCTCCAGCCTACACCTGGGGAAACTGAGGCCTCACCCAGGCTCACATGACCGCAGAGCACAGAGTGTGGACTTGATCCTGTCCGGCTCCCGGGGCCCCTTGTGGGCAAGATGGAGAGGGGCTGGGGCAGGATGTGGGGGGCCCAGGAGGCTCAGCTCGGCGTCCCCCCACCCCCAGGGAAGATGCTGATCCTTGGCTCCATGTTCCACCTGGCGGAGCCCGTGCTCACCATCGCGGCTGCGCTCAGTGTCCAGTCGCCCTTCACCCGCAGCGCCCAGAGCAAGCCTGAGAGTGCGGGAGCGCGGCGGCCCCTGGACAGTGACCACGGCGACCCCTTCACGCTCTTCAACGTCTTCAATGCCTGGGTGCAGGTGAGGCTGGGGGTGGCGTCATCCCTGAGTGTGTCATTCTGCCCAGGGTCCGGGGAGGCCCGCTGCGCCAGGGAGGGCCACTGTGCCCTCTGCAGGCGGGACCGGCCCCTGTGCCCACCACTCATTCCGGGGGGCGTGGGGCCAGCACGTGCTGGGTCCCCTCCTCGAGGAGAGGCTGGGGTTCCTAAAGCACTGAACGGACCCACTACCCACTGGACAGAGCCCACACCCTTCGGGGGTACCTGTATATCTAACATGTGCTCCCCGAGCCCGTGCTGTGTGCCTGGCCCCGTGCTGGGCAGTGCTGGGGACCCAGTCGTGGCTGAAACCGCCTGGCCCTGCTCTCCTGGGTCTCACAGGCCAGTGCAGGGAGGCAGACTTAGACAGTGACCACTCAGTACGGGCTGTGATGAGGAGTCCAAAGAGCTGAGAGAGAGAGAGAGCCCAGAGGGTTATGTCTGACCTGGTGTGGCCTGGGAGGGCTTCCTGCAGGAGGGGGCAGAGGGTCTGAGACGTGGAAGGAGGAGGAGAGCAGGTGTCCCTGAGGGCGCCGTGACGGATCTCCACCTGCCTCATATTCTGCCAGGGGGCTGCTGTTTGGGCCCACGCTGGGGGCGTCTGGGCAGTGGGTCAGCCCCCTCCTCATCCCCCAGCTGGACAGGCCTGGACGCCCTGGTCTCTGATTTGCACCAGGTGAAATCTGAACGGAGCAGGAGCTCACGCAGGTGGTGCCGCCATCGTGGCATAGAGGAGCATCGGCTGTACGAGATGGCCAACGTACGGCGCCAGTTCAAGGTGAGGCTCGGGGCCGGGGGTGGGGGCCAGGAACAGACCTGGCGAGGCCGGGGGGAGGGTGCAGAGTGAGTGCGTGTGAGCACGTGCCATGGCACAACCTTTCTTCTCTGATGCGCTGGGGTCCCGCCCGCACCCACCCATCCCCCTCCCCCATCACACCCTCAGATGTCATGTGCCCTGGGTGGCTCAAAGGGGTAGAAATCCAGGAGGGCTTCCTGTAGAAGTGGCCAGGGTTAGCAGTCACGTGCTACCTCCTCATGAGGAACCACACCACCTGGATCAGGGGTGCCCAGCTGGTCACGCGGGCTGAGCTCTGAGAGGCAGCGTGGGGTGATGGGCGGGGCCCCCGCGTGCATGTCCTGATGGTGGATCCCTGCGCCATGCTGCTCGGAGCCTCCGCTCTCAGTGAGGAAATGGGGACGATGGGAACAGCCGTCCTGGGGGGATTAAGTGAGTTAATCCACGTAGAGCGTTTAGAACAGGGCCAGGCGCACAGGTGGGGCGATACGAGCCTTGGCCACATTTGTGACGTGGATCTGCAGCCTGCCTCTGTCCACGGGTGCCTCGCCACGCCTTCCAGTGGCCATGCGGCTGCCGTGGGGACAAGTAACCCCCTCCTTGTGGTTGAACTTGGGCATGTGGAGGCCCAGCGTGGGTGTCCTGGGCCCGGCGTGCACTTGCTGGTGTCCCCGTAGTGGGCACCGCTGGCGTCCTGATGGCTCTCAGCACCCCCAGCCTCACCGGCTTCTAGAGCAGAGGCTCCGCTCTCGCGGGCGCGCAGACCCCCAGGGGGCAGCGGAAGGCGCGGTCCTCATGTCTGTCACACACCCACGTGGCGCCCCCGATGCAGAGGGGTCGCGGGGGACAGGCCCCAGTCCGAGCCCATGTCCCTGCCCTGCGTGCCTCACGCGGCCCCGGCCGCCCCCAGGAGCTGCTGGAGGACCACGGGCTGCTGGCCAGGGCCCACACCTCACAGCCAGGGGACAGCCACAGCCGGCTGCAGCGGCGCCGGGAGCGCCGGGCCCTGCACCGGCTGAAGCGCCAACACGAGGAGGGCGGGGGACGCGGCCGCAAGGTGCTGCGGCTGCAGGATGACGCAGGCGGCTACTCCAGCGAAGAGGACCCGGGCGCCAGCGACAGTGTGGACATCCAGGTGGGAGCCCGGGGCGGCCTGGGCGCACTTGAGCGGGGGTGGGGGGTGGGGGGGAGGTGCTTCCCTCCCTCAGGAGCCCGCCACCGCTGTGCGCGGCACCCCTGGCTCCGCGTGTCCTAGCACGAACTGCGTGGGTATTGGTGTGGGCCCCCTAGGAACCCTGCCCTGCAACATTCCCTCCAGGATGTCAAGTTCAAGCTGCGGCACAGCCTGGATCAGCTGCAGGCGGCCGCCACCGCGGCCCAGGACCTGACGCGCGACCAGGTGGCCCTGCTCAAGCTGGTGCTGGGCCGGGGCCTCTACCCCCAGTTCGCCTTCCCGGACCCGTTCAACAGCAGCCGGAAGGACTCGGACCAGGTGGGTCTCCTCGTGCTCACCGGGCCGGCGGGGTTTTGTCCCTCAGCACGCCCTCCCTTCCCTGCCCCGTGCTGGGGACGCAGCAGTTATGGGAACGGCCCTGGCCCTGCTGCAGGCCAGCGTGTGGGGGCAGACCCGTGCCCAGATGTCCCAGGGTGCTGGCGGTTGGGATCGGGGGACATGGGGGAGTTCCTGGCCAGCCTGGGCCGCGGTCAGGGAAAGCTTCCTGGAGGAGGAGACTTCAGAGGGGACACACGGCTGGGGGAATCTGGCCAAGGGCATGGAGGAAAAGGGTTCTGGGCAGCGAGAGAGTAGGTCCGAGCACCTCTGTCCCCTGGCAGATTTTCCACACCCAGTCCAAGCAGGGTACTGTGCCGCACCCCACTTCCGTCTTCGCCAGCACCTCGGAGGTACTGCACTCGCAGGAGCAAGAGGCTGGGGGCGCCGCAGGGAGCCGAGGTACCGTGAGTCCAGGTGGGGAGGGGCCGACCCCTTGGGGTGTGAGGGGCGGGGCAGGGACGGTGACCTCAGGGTGGCCCTCACTATTCGCAGTTACCCCCTTCTCCCCTCACACTCTGCCTTTGCTGGGGTTACTGACGCGGAACCTGCAGGCACGGAGGTCCCAAGGGCCAGACCTCCCTGGGTGACTTTGGCAAATCCCCGGCCACGCTGAGCCCCGCCCTCCTGACCGAGGGCTGCAGGGGTGGCGGATGCGGCTCTGAGGCCACTCCTCGGGCCAGAGCCTTTCGTGAGTAGGGGGGACCCATCCTGTGAGCTCTGTGAGCCCCCCAGGCTCAGTCCTGCCCGGGGGCGCCACAGGCCCCGTGGGGAAAGTCGCAGCGTTCTCGGACTAGCTGTGTCAGCAGGGCCGGGCCGGGGCCCTCCAGAACGTTCGGTGCAGAACCCACGGTCTCTGGGTGGCTGCGGTATGGCCACGCGCCCCGTGTGAGCTCTGGGACACAACGGTCTCTCCCCGTGTTTGTGAGTAAAGTACCGTGAGGTAGGACACCGTGTCCCCCTGAAGGGTCAGGGTGAGAACGGGACACATTTAAGACAGAAGTTGCAACTTGTCTCAAGCCTTTCACTGCCGGTAAATCCCTGGCCCCTTAACCTTCTTTCTGCTCTATTGTTTTTCTTCTTTGTTTTTTAATTTTGAAAATTCCAGACGTCTTCCAAGTGGAGAGTAGGACCGACCCTCCGTACCTTCCTCCGGCCCCCGCGGCCACCCTGTGCGCTGTGTCTTACGTCACCTCCTGTTTTTCTCCTTTCTGTTGGATGTAGAGCAGATCCCAGATGTCGTGTCATTTAGAAACGCCTAAAACGCTACAGGCTGATTTTTTGCAGTACTTCGATGCCGCTATCGCTTCTAATGAAATTAGCAGTATTTCTTTAAAAACCAAAACCAAAAACCAGTATTGCTTAATATCTAATAATGAATAGTGAAAGTCATATTCATTATGACAAGTATTTACATATAAGTCACACTCTATCGCTACTCATCTGAGCTTATATATATATATATGTATACATAGACACACGTATTTTTTAAGTTTAATTTTTGGCTTACCTGGGCGGCTCAGTTAAGCATCTGACTCTTGGTTTTGGCCCAGGTCATGATCTCACGGTATGTGGATTCGAGCCCTGCAACCGGGTCTGCACTGACGGTGTGGAGCCTGCTTGGGATTCTCTCCCTCCCCCTCTCTGCCCCTCCCCACTCATGCTCTCTTTCTCTCCTTCGCTAAATAAATAATTAAAAAAAATTTTTTTAAATGTTTATTCACTTTTTGAGAGACAGAGCATGAGCAGGGGAGGGTCAGAGAGAGAGGGAGACACGGAATCTGAAACAAGCTCCAGGCTCTGAGCTAGCTGTCAGCACAGAGCCCAGTGCGGGGCTCGAACCCATGAACTGTGAGATCATGACCTGAGCCGAAGTCGGACGCTTAACCGACTGAGCCACCCAGGCGCCCCAGTAAATAAGTTTTAAGAGTTTATTTATTTTTGAGAGACAGAGCAGGAGTGGGGAGAGGATGAGGGAGACAGAGAACCCCAAGCAGGCTCCTTGCTGTCACCACAGAGCCCAACGTGGGGCTCGATCCCACAAACTGTGACATTATGACTGAGCTGAGATCCAGAGTCGGACCCTTAACTGACCTAGCCCCCCAGGCGCTCTGCATGAATGTGTGTTTTACACGGATGTGTAAATGCCCTGGTGGGACGGCCACCCCTGGGAACGGACCCATATGGGGTGGGGGGCCATGGCTGGGAGATGGGGTAGCAGGGGTGCCCTGAGCTGTCGTCCTGACCATTGCAGGTGACAAGGACCAGATGAGCAGCAGGCACCAGCTCCTCAGCTTCGTCTCTCTGCTGGAGACCAACAAGGCCTACCTGGTGAACTGCGTCCGCATCCCAGCTCTCCAGGTGCGTCCCGGGGTGTGGCGACTGTGTCCCGGTCGCCGGGGCAGGGGTGTCCCCAGGGCAGGAGGTGGGGGCTGGGCCTGCGAGTCACCTTCCCTCAGCACTTGCTGCACCTGCTGCATGTCGGGAACAGCGGATGGCGGTAAGGACTGTAAAGCATCGCATGCTGTGTTTGCGGGTGAGAAGTACTTGGGGCAAATGAGAAGAATAGGGTAAGGGGATTGGGGAGGGGCGGGTTGAGGGCGGGGGACAGGCTGTAGTAGGAAATAAGGTGAGCAGGGAAGGACCCGTGGGATACTTTGGGAGAAGAGTTTCGTAGAGGAAACAGCAAGTGCAAAGGCCCTGAGGCACACACAGGCCCCACACAGGGAACAGCTGGACCAGCATTGGTGAAGGGGAGAATGGCTGGAGATGAGGTCAGAGGAGTAGGAGAGACTGGGGCCGCCAGCCCGGGGAAGGTCGGGACAGATCTGGGTCAGGGCCTGCTGGGCGGAAGCAGGGAGCCCCAGCAAGGAAGTGACTGTTCCATCCAGGTGGGGGAGGGTGGCAGCGGAGGACTCGCTTAGGCTGCAGACAGATTCGCCTGTGTGTCTGCATCCTGGAAGCGGGAGCCCTGGCAGTCTTAGCGGTCACGGCCCGTGAGTTCTGCGTGTCTCCCTGCGGTTCGAGGGCTGCCGTGATTCTCGCTTTGTGGGGGAGAAGACAAGCCCCAGGGAGTGAGGGGGACACTGCCATTTCTACCCGCCCCGTGACAGCTCACTCGGACCTGCCCAGTCACACGTTTGCTCAGACATTTCTTGAGCGGGTGCCTCGCACAGGGCGCCAATTCCTGTCCTGGGTGCCGGGGGTGCCGTCGCGATCAGAATCCGCACAACTCCTGGGCCCCTGTATGCATGGGGGAGGCAGACGCCAAACAGAAACACAAATAAATAGAAACGGTAACACCGGATTCTCCTCGCGGCTGGAGAGAAAGAACAAAGCAGTGCAGGGACAGAGTGGTGGCGGTTAGTAGACTCAGGGAGGAGGCAAACCTTTACTAGCCAAGGGTGCTGCCTGGTCAGGGCCTCTCCTCTGTAGGATTATTGGTTTCTTTTCTTTTCTTTTCTTTTCTTTTCTTTTCTTTTCTTTTCTTTTCTTTTCTTTTCTTTTCTTTTCTTTTCTTTTCTTTTCTTTCTTTCCTTTCCTTTTCTTTCTTTTCTTTCTTTTCTTTCTTTCTTTCTCTCTCTTTCTCTCTCTCTTTCTTTTCTTTCTTTCAGTGCTTATTTATTTTTGAGAGAGCGAGAGCAAGCATGAGTGGGGGAGGGGCAGAGAGAGAGGGAGACACAGAATCTGAAACAGGCTCCAGGCTCTGAGCTGTCAGCACAGAACATGACGCGGGGCTCAGACTCACAAACCACGAGATCATGACCTGAGCTAAAGTCAGACACTTAACCGACTGAGCCCCCCAGCCAGCACCCCTCCCCCTGCCCGTACCATTAGTTTCTGATGGTGAATTTTAAACACACACACAAGATAGCAGACAGAGCTCTCCTGTTCCATCACTGAGCCCCCAAACCGTTGACCATGGCCGGACCTGCTTGCACCCGGCCCACCCGCCCCGTAGCATTTTCCCCATACGTGGCCATGGCCGTGACCGCTCTCAAATGGGAAGTTGGAAGGAGCAAACAGTGAACACGTGACGTTCCTGCTCACGAGAGCCTACACACAGCCTCCTGTCTTTTTGCCTTATCATAGATCTGTCCCTCTGTCCACCCGTCAGTCTGCTCTTTAATTGGCTTTTCTTTTTCGTTCTCCTGATGCATTTTAAAGACAGTTGCTGGGGGGACCCGGGAGGCTCAGACGGTTGAGCAGCTGACTCTTGGCTTCGGCTCAGGTTGTGATCTCACGGTTCAGGGGATTGAGCCCCTCGTTGGGTTCTGCGCTGACGGCACAGAGCCTGCTTGGGATCGTCTCTGTCTCTCTGCCCCTTCGTCTCTCTCTCTCTCTCTTTCAAAGTAAATGAGTAAACATGAAAAACAGTTACAGGGTAAATTGCTGGCGTCGGTACTTTTCAGCCTTAAACGCTTCCACATCCGTCCCGTTAACTGGGACCCGATACGTGTTTATATGTGTCGAGGGTGAAGCTGGTGCAGAGCGACAGGTGCACACGGCAGGTGCACTGAGAAGTGTCGACAGAGGCATCCGTGCGTGTAGGCTCCACCCCGTGGGGACGCGCGTCTCCCTCGGCCATCAGCCTCTGACGCACGATGGCGGCCCTGGCCCCTTAGAACGAATTGCAGTTTCCTCTTTGATGTCAGTCCTTCTGTTTTCCCAAGTAGAACGTCCACTCCGTGGGCGCGGGGACTCTCGTTCACAGCGGAACCTGGAAGGGTGCCTGGCACAGAGTAGGCGAGCGGCATGTGGACGCCCCCTGTCCCCTGTCCTCCCTTTCAGTCCCTCTTGCTGTTCAGCCGGTCCCTGGACACCAACGGGGACTGCTCGCGCCTGGTGGCTGACGGCTGGCTGGAGCTCCAGCTTGCGGACAGTGAGAGCGCGGCCCGGCTCCTGGCGGCTTCCGTGCGGCTCCGTGCCCGCTGGGAAAGTGCACTGGACCGGCAGCTGGCGCGTCAGGCCCAGCGGCGGCTGCCGGAGGTGGACCGAGAAGAAGAAGAGGAGGAGGAGGATCCCGTCGCCCGCAAGGAGGTGGCCCACCTGAGCAGGGAGCTGCTGAAGTTCACGGCATCCAAGGTACCTGCCCACGGGGCGGCACCCCCGCCTTGGCCAGAGGGCTGCCCGCCCCACGGATCCAGAGTCCAGAGGGCCTGGCTTCCTGCTCATTCCGGGGTCACACCTTTGTGGGTTTCTAAACCAGACAAGTTGAGGACAAGGGCAAGGTCTCAAGGCTGGTGAGGGGTGGAGCCGGGATTTGACCCCAGGAGCCTGGCTCCAGAGGCCCCGCCCCCATTGGCCCCTGCAGGCTCGAATTCAGCAGAGGTTTCCCGGCGTGTGTTACTCCTCGTTAGCGGTTAAAGGCGCACGGGACAAGCGAGGGAAGCTGTACGCAGCTGTCCGTTCACGGGGGTCTGGGAAGAATTGGGCCGAGCGGATTTGAGTTCAGTCCCCCACCCCTTAAGCAGATAGTTGCGAATTGCTCCTGATTCTACTGCGTGCGGATGGGGTGGAGACGTTATTTGAGCCAGGGTGACTTTCTGGAGGAGCTGCAGGCCCAGGGAGCCAGGGCCAGGGGAACAGATCGACATGCTGGGCGAGGACAGGCAAGGTGGCCCATGGAAGGTCCGGATGTGGTCCCCCAGGGAGCAGAGAAGGGGCCTCGGGCATCGGGCGTGTTTCAGACAAGCCCTTGGTCGGGAGTGTCCGAGACCACGTTGTGATTGGACTTAGCAACTGGCCTTGTGACTGAACCATCCAGGGTCGGGTTTCAGGTACAGCTCGATCCGGGTGCCCTAACAATGTCTCCCTGAGTCTGTCTCCCCTCTTTCCTGTCTTCCCGCCCCCAGGTCCCCTACAGCCTCCGGCGGCTCACGGGGCTGGAAGTCCAAAACCTCTATGTGGGGCCCCAGACCATCACAGCTGCGCCCAGTCTCCCTGGCCTCTTCGGGAGCTGCACCTTGTCCCCCCACCCCACCAAAGGGGGCTACGCCGTCACTGACTTCCTCACCTACAACTGCCTCACAGTAAGCGTGGACCCCACCTTGGCCCCTCACCGCTTCCCCCCTGCCACGAAGATGGGATTCAAGGAAGTCTTCGCCTCCCCACCAATCACGCCCCCACTTCGTGCATGGATTCGGTTTCAGGAGGGAGGGCCCCCCCGCCAGCCCCGGGGGATTCTGGGACGGGTCCCAGGCTGGTGGCGGCGAGCTGCCAGGGGGCCGCATCCCACCGCAGCCTTTCTTCCCCAGAGCGACACGGACCTGTACAGCGACTGTCTCCGTACCTTCTGGACCTGCCCCCACTGCGGCCTGCACACGCCGCTGACGCCCCTGGAGCGCATCGCGCACGAGAACACCTGCCCCAAGGCCCCGCAGGACAGTCCCCCAGGTGAGGGTGTGGGGGTGCTGGGCACCGTGTCCCCCCCCCCTCGCCCCAAGGCTGTTTCCCGTGGGCCCGGGCGTTTGCTTGCTGGAGGTCTGGGGCCCCATGGCTGTAGTCCTGGTCGGTGCCACCACAGGCTTTGTCCCGGAGACCCCGAGCCGGGGGGGGGGGGGGGGGGGGGGGCGGGGAGCGAGGGCCTTCACCCCCACCTCTCCCATTTCCTTGTGTCCGGCTCTCTGTGGTGCTGACCTCGATCTGCCTCTCTCCCTCTCCCTCCCTCCCTCCCTCTCCTTCCCTCCCTCTTTCTCCCTTCCTCTCTCTCTCTCTCCCTCTTTTCTTTTCTTCCCTCTCCTGTGTCTCTTGTTCTCTTCTCTGTCCTGCTGTCTCTGTCTCAGCCACACCCACCCTCTTGTCACCCCTGGGGACACCACAGTGGCCAGGCCCCAGCACTGTGCACCGCACTGGTCCCCCCCCCACCCCAGGGCTCTGTCTCCTCCTTCCCCATCTCTCGCCGCGCGGGACGCAGTAAAGACTTGCCTGTGTGCGTGTATGAACTGAGGGAGGCTCCCCCGCAGGAGGCCCAGCCAGATTCCCCGGGCGGGGGGAAGCCTGGGCCCTGCAGGTGCCTGCACTTTGGGCTGGGAGCCACTGTGGAGCTCCCCCCACAGCCTCTCCCCCCCTCCCCCAGGGGCCGAGGAGGCCGCCCCCGAGCCCCTCCCGAAGGCGACTTCCGTCCTGCAGAAGCCCTATCACTGCGAGGCCTGTGGGAAGGACTTCCTGTTCACACCCACGGAGCTGCTGCGGCACCGGAGGCAGCATGTGTGAGCCCGGCCGTCGGGAGGGGACAGGGACTCCCGTCCAAGCGCGCCGCCTCCGCCCGGGGCTGTGAGGTCCGGCCCGGCCCCGTCACAGAGGGGAGCGAAGTGAATAAAGTCTCCTGTGCTGACTCTGACCCCTGGGCCTGCTCCCGCCCGTCTGGAAAGTGGCAGCGGCCCCTTGTCCTCCCCCACATGTGGCCCCCCTGCTTCCCGCTGCCCTGGGCCAGCCGCGGTGTCCTGGGGCGGGGCGACGGGTGAGACCAAGCAGGGACTCCGGATCCCAGGCTTCCCGTGGCTGCTGCTGTCTCCTGTCCCCAGGGAGGCCTGCATGTCCGTCTACACGGTCAGAGAGCTGGGCCCGGTGGGGGTTGGGGGTCAGCGCTGACGTGGGCCCATGTCCCTCCCAGCCACCAGGGCCATTCCTGCTGCGGGGTCCATGACGGCTCTCACTTGTCCCCTGGGGCCCCTGCCCCCACCCCGCCACACACATGAGAACGATTGGGAGATGTGGCGAACCGCTTGACTCTGGTAAATTCTGCGGCTCTGTTGAAAGGGCAGAACATCCCAAAAAATGCAGACAGACTGCTGGGGCACCTGAGTGGCTCGCTCGGTTGAGTGTCCAACTTCAGCTCAGGTCCTGATCTCAGGGTTGGTGAGTTCGAGCCCCGCTGTCACACAGAGCCCACTTCAGATCCTCTGTCTCCCTCTTTCTCTGCCCTTCACTCGCTCTCACTCTCAAAAATAAATAAGCATTAAAAAGTTTTTTTAAAAAGGAAAGCAAACTACAGTATCCCATACGAGCAGCCACCAAATCCTTAGTAAAAGTGTAGCGACTCCGTGTCAGCGGTTCATAAAAAGCACAGTAAAGTACATCGTGGCCACGTGGGGTTTAGTGCAGGCAGCAGCGCTACTGTAACATTTGAAAGCCAATCAATGTGGTTCACCTGGTAAAACACAAAGTGCACAGGACAAATTTCAACACCCCGTGGCCTTGTGTAAACCCCTCCACCTCTCTGCTCAACTCCTGATTTCTTCTCTGACAACGCGTTCAAACTTTTCCCCACAGGCTTCATCGCCAGAGTGTAACAGCAATGCACGGTTGTGGGGGGCAGGGGTCGAAGCCTAAACTGAAGCCTCTGTGGGTGTTTTAAGCAGGAAGGGATTTAATCCGGGCGGGGGGTGTGGATCGGATATTTACAACACCGTGGGAGTCTGGGCTGGCCCTCAGGAGTGACCCCAGGACGATAGCACAGAACCCGCCAAGGCCAGGAACTCTGGGTTCAGGGACGCCCAGTCCTGGCCGTGACCCAGGGGTCTACTCTGTCGCCCACGTGTCTGGAGGCTCCACCCACTGGCGCAAGCTCTCTCCGAAATGTGGCCGCCGGGCACTTGGGGGTCAGCTGGGAGACCAGTCGCCGTCCCCGGGCTCTGCTGCGAGGGGTGCGGAGGTCCCCCGGGCCCACGTGGCGTCTCCCACAGTGAGGAGCCCCGGAGGCCTTGAAGAAGGTACAGAAAAGCGATGTAGGGAAGGAGGGAAGAATCCACCATGATCTGCCTTCCGGGGGCACGTTCTCCACATGCCTTTCTCTGCGCACGCGTCTCCAGACATTTTTAAACTGGTCAGGTCCTGCTGTTCCCTTGGCCCATTTAACACTCTCTGAGACAGATCATCAGTCAGCGTTTCCCCAGATCATCAAAAACTTGTCCAAGAGCTGACTCTTTAAAGATGCCGGTGAAGTAATGCAAGTGTAGACACACTGTTTGGAAAAACCCGATTCCTACTGTTTCCTATTTGGACGGTTTCCGTGTCTGTTTTTAATTTTCCAAATAGAGCAACAGCAGACACCTTCCTGTAGACGGAGGACCCCTTGTGCACGCCTGAATTCCTTTTGGTTTTTGTGTGTGTTTTTTTTTTAATTTTTTTTTTTTTTAGGGGAGAGAGACAGCGTGAGCAGGGGAGGGTCAGAGAGAGAGGGAGTCACAGACTCTGAAACAGGCTCCAGGCTCTGAGCTGGCAGTCAGCACAGAGCCCTACGCGGGGCTCGAACCCACGAACCGTGAGATCATGACCTAAGCGAAAGTCGGACGCTTAACCGACTAAGCCACCCAGGCACCCCTTGTTTTGTTTTTTAAAGTGTGTTTATTTTGAGAGAGAGAGAGAATCCCAAGCAGGCTCCATGCTGTCAGCGAAAACCCCGACATGGGGCTCGATCTCCCCAACCATGAGATCATGACCTGAGCCAAAATCAAGAGTCCCACACTTAACCAACTGGTCACCCAGGTGCCCCTCTGACTTCCTATTTTTAAAAAGGTTTTCTCCACTGTAGAAGATTCGGAGGAGCTGGAAAACAAGTCGTAAGTAGTAAGCGTCCCCCGGAACCCCCACCCCCGAGGCCCTGGGCACTGGGCTTGTCGGCGTGATGGCGACAGATGCTGTTTGCGTCTTCCCACAGATCATCTGAACATAAGCACGTCCGTCGTTATTATTGCCTGACCCCTCGGGTAGTGGCCGCAGAGGCCCCCCTCCCGGAGCGGCCGGGCCTGCCCAAGTCCATTACCGCATTTCCTTCCATTCTGCACAGCGCTCGCGCGACCCGCGTCTGCGTCCTGCCTCCCCCCAGTCTTCCTGCCCTTTCCTCCCGTGTTCCCAAGAGCGCAATCAACGGGTCAGGAGGTCGGAGCATCTGCGAGGCGACTCTGGCACCGGCTGCAAGTTTCCACTCCTTTTTAACCATCTACATTTCTGTCCATTCCTGTCTTCTTTCCAGAGAAAGTGCATGCATTGTGCTAGCGTGGTAAACACTCAGCAGTCCCTACTCTGCCAGGCACTGTTCTAGGAGATGTTTTTGTATCGATACAGAGCTTGCCTGGCTGTGTACTGGTCCATTACACGGATGTACCAAGCATTTATTTAACCAGGCTGATAATGGAGAGACACTTAAGCTGTTGTCAATCTTTTGCCCCCATAAAGAGCTGTCATGAATATTCTTGGATGTGTGTCATTTCTAGATACGTGTGCATCCGTAGGATAAATTCCTGGGGGTAGAATCACTGGTCCCAGGAAAGGTACAGTTTTTAAATTATTTTTTTTTTATTTTAGAGAGAGAGAGAGAGTACAGCGGGAGAGAGGGGCAGAAGGAGAGAGAGAGAAAATCTTAAGCAGGTTCCATATTTAGCACAGAGCCCAATGAGGGCTCCCACGACCCTGGGATCATGACCTGAGCTGAAATCAAGAGTCAGATGTTCAACTGACTGAGCCCCCCAGGCACCCCTAGAAGGTACATTTTTATAGGTCATTTGATAGATTCTTCTACCTGTCCTTCCATACATGCTATATTGGCTTACCTCATTTTTATTTCTCCTGATTGCCTGTGAGCCCAAGCATCTGGGCCATTTGTATTTTCTCTTCTGTGCTAGCTCAACTCCTAAACTCTTTGTCATTTTGTTCTTGGTTTGTTGTAGCTCTTTATATATACTGGATCTTAAGCATCATAGACATTACAAACGTTTCTCTCGGTCTGCTGCTTGTCTTTTGGCTTTGTTTATGGTGACTTACTCAAGTTTTTTTGTTTGTTTGTTTCAGTGTTTGGTGGTCAAAGCTCTCTATTGTTATGGTCCCTGAGAATATCTTCCCTGACACAAGGTATTAAAAATAAGGAAATGGGACACCTGCGTGGCTCAGTTGGTTAGACGTCCGACTTTGGCTCAGGTCATGATCTCACGGTTCGTGGGTTCGAGCCCCGCGTCGGGCTCTGTGCTGACAGCTAGCTCAGAGCCTGGAGCTGATTTCAGATTCTGTGTTTCCCTTTCTCCCTGACCCTCCCCTGTTCATGCTTTCTCTCTTTCTCTCAGAAATAAATTTTAAGAAAAAATAAAAATAAAAATAAGGAAATAAATGGTTTATGGGAGAAACTAACCTCAGGGCTTCTCCCACCCACCATACAGCCAAGTCTCCTGAGAACATTTCAGCTTGTCAGGATTCTTTCTGCTTTTCCTCCTTGTTTCATGTTAAAACATGAAATTAATGCCCTATTGGCAAGAAAGAGAGTTCTTTTTATTTGTGTGTGTGTGTGTGTGTGTGTGTGTGTGTGTGTGTGTGTGTGTCATGGGGGGGGGGGCGTTGCTAAAAAGGGAAGCCATCCAGTGTCTGCCAAAAAGACTTAAGCATCCCCTGGGCTCTGACCCAGTAAAACTGTTCTAGGGGCTGAGTCTGAAGCAACCTGCTGGAAGAAGGGAAAAGACTCTTCACGCCCAGATACGGCCACCAGGGCATTTGTCTGAATTGAAGAGCCAGGGGTCACAGCCCCTTAAGGGTGAATTTGATGGCCTTGAACAGAAATTCTTATTACCGTCAGTTTACTGGGAAGATGTGTCTGTTCCAAAATGCGGACAAAATCTCCAGGGGGCGCTGTGGCTTGGACGTTCTCACGACCGCAGGAAATAATCTCATGGAGACATCACTTTGCACTCATCAGACTGGCCCAGATTTAAAAGATCGATGATGCTCACTGCTGGCTAGGATGTGCGGAAATGGGCCCTTCCGGCTGCCTTGAAGGGAAATTCATTCAACTCTGATTTCGGAGCATCTGTCAAAATGCAAGGTGTGTGCGCTCAACAGTCTTTTAAAACTTTCCCTCGAAGCAGAACGTATAGAAAAGGGCACAAGTCGTAAGTGAAGAGCTTGGCTTTCCCCAGGAAGCGAAACAGGTCTGTCTGTGTCCCCAGCACCCAGAAAAACAGACCATGACCAGCTCCCCTCCCCCCAGCAGCTGGCTTGTGCTTCCCCTTCCCCACCCCCCTCCCTGGCGCAGGCCCCTTGGGGCAACCAGCTCCCTGACCTCTAACACCATCACCTAGTGTTGCCCGAACTGAATATGATAAAAATGTACCCTCGTGTGCCTGGCTTCTTTGGCTAACATGGTGTGAGGCACCGTGGTCGATTCATTCTGTTGTATGAATTCATCGCGCATTAATTTATTCTTTTGTTGATGCCAAGTTGGCCAGGTTCCCATTACAACTAAGGCTGCTATGAACACACGGTCTGGGGGCTTGTGGTGAACACACGTGTGCAGTTGTGTGGCGTTCGCGCCCAGGAAGGGCTCGCTGGGTCCCGGGATGCACAGGGGTTCAGTTCTAGTAGATTCTCTGGAATGGTCTTCCACAGCTGTTTTGCTAGCATGTGCTCCTACCAGCCATGTAGGAGAGCTGTGATTAGCCAGGCTAATGGTAATTATTGTGACATTTGTTGCGATTGTAATTGCAGTTCCATGATGGCTAATGATGTCGAGAATCTTTTCACCGGCTTATGAGGCATTTGTTTATCTACGTTTTGTAATTTATATTCAGTATTTGGACTCCTTTAAAAGATGCTTATTTATTTATTTTGAGAGATCAAGAAAGAGCTCAAGCAGGGGAGGGGCAGAGAGAGAGGGAGACAGAGAATCTGCACCGACAGCGTGGAGCCCAGTGTGGGGCTCGAACCCATAAACCGTAAGATCACGACCGGAGCCAAAACCAAGAGTCTCGTGCTTACCTGACTGAGCCCCCCAGGAGCTCCCAGGATTTTGCCCCTTATAAAGGAATCATCTTATTGACTTGAAAGAATTCTTTATATTATGTATATAGTTTATAGGGGCACCTGGATGCCTCAGTTGGTAGAGGGTGTGGCTCCTGATCTGGGGGGTTGTGAGTTTGAGCTCCACATGGAGTGTTTCAGTTAATAAAATTTTTAAAAATATATGGTTTATATATGTATGTAATATATTTAGTTCTTTATATGATACATATTTGTCACGTGTATAGAGAATATTTCCCCCAAGTCAAGCCTTTTCATTTTCCTCCACCCTATGACTTCATCTTGACTGGGTCATATGCCAAGACCCTGTTTCCAAATAAGGTCATGTTCACAGTTCCTGGAATTAGGACTTCAGGATGTCTTCTGGGGGGACACAACCCAACTGCTATCACCCCCCCAACACCCTGTAAATCACCCTCTGCGTGGCAGCCCAGGGCCAAGCACAAACCCAATTCTGTCCCCTTTCTGTGCTCAAAATTCTTCCAAGACAGGGGCGCCTGGGTGGCTCAGTCAGTTAAGCGCCCGGATCTTGACTTCGTTTCGGGTCATGATCTCACAGTTTGTGGGTTCAAGCCCCGCATAGGGCTCTGTGCTGACAGTGTGGAGCCAGCTTGGGATTCTTTCTCTCTCCCTCTCTCTCTCTCCCTCCACCCCACTCGTGTGCTCTGTTTCTCTCTCTCTCTCTCTCTCAAAATAAATAAACTTAAAAAGTAGGTTAATAACTGCATTTCAATTTTTAAAAATTCCTTCCAAGACGATGGAATAATATTCAGCCATAAAAAGGAACAGAGAAGCTACAGCATGGGTGAACCCGGAAAACACGATCTCGAGTGAAAGAAGCCAGACACAAAAGACCATATATTGTATGATTTCATTTATATGAAATACCCAGAAGGGACAAATCGATAGAGCCAGAAAGCGGGTTGGGAGTTAGGGTGGAGGGGTGTGGCTGGTAAGGTTCAGAAGGTTTCTTTTTGGGATGAATGCATTTGTTGTACAGTTGATTATGGTGATGGCTGGACAACTCTGAATGTACGAAAGCCATGGACTTGCACGCTTTAAACGGGAGGGCTTTGTGGCGGTGAATTTCAGCTCAGTAAAGCGGTTACAAACAGCGTTCGTGGCTCCCCAGCGCCCTCTGGAGGGAACCCGGGCTCACTGCCTGCCCCACATACAGCGGGATCCAAGCGGGATGACCCGGAGTCAGCTGTCATGGACACACAGCTCACAAGAGGCTACAAAGCCACACACACGCAGAGACACCGCCATGCGCGCATACAAAGAGGCCCCCTGTTATAAAGAAGACCCGCTTTGCCACCCGATCCCGCCCAGACTCAGGGCATCTCGTCAGCAGGGACACACGACCGCTACGAGGCACAGCGTGACAGACACAGCCAGAGACCCAGCCTGTCCTCAGGGACACACGCGCGCCGCGCAGTGACAGGCTCAGCCGCGGACACGCGCTGTGACGACCGCCCCCCGCCAGCCGCCGGTGCCCGAGCCCGCCCGGCCCCGCCACCCGGCGGCACGCGGGGTCCCCACCTCCCTGTCCCGTCTCACTCCAGACACGCGCGGTCCCCCAGCCCCAGCGGCTGCTGCTTCCTCGCCCCAGGAAACGGGGGAGGTATTTTTAGTTACAATTAACCTCCCGCCCAGTTTCCCTCCTCTCCGGTGGCACATCCAATTGGTTTAATTAGAGAGGATTCAGCGAGAGGCATTTCCAGTCGGGGAGCAGGTGGAGGAGGGGGAGGGGAGCTGCCCCTCCCCCACTCGCCTGCTTCCCCGCTTCCCCCCCCCCTCCCCCACCCCTCGCCAGAAGGCCGCCCTTGCCGGAATGTGCCAGGCCTCCCCTTGCATCACCTCGGGCTTAGCCCGGCCCTGCCTCCTCCCTCCCCTGCCCTCAAAGGAGGGCTGAGAAGCCCTTCCTGCTGTCTATTCCTCCTCCATCCCCCTTCAGTCCTGGAGTTTGGGGAGAGATAAACACTAATCCTAACGGCCAAAATCATGTGTAACACAGAGAATGGTTCACATGAGGCCCTTTAAAATCATAGAATCTTAGAATTATATACATAGGGGCGCCTGGGTGGCTTAGTCGGTTAAGCGTCCAACTTTCGCTTAGGTCATGATCTCGCGGTTCGTGGGTTCGAGCCCCGCGTCGGGCTCTGTGCTGACTGCCAGCTCAGAGCCTGGAGCCTGATTTCAGTCTGTGTCTCCCTCTCCCTCTGACCCTCCCCTGCTCACGCTGTCTCTCTCTCTCTCTCTCTCCTAGAAATAAAAAAATATATATATTTTAAAAATATATAAAAAAAAGAATTATATACATAGATTTTTTTTTGAGAGCACGTGAGCGAGGAAGGAGCAGAGTGAGGGAGAGAGAGAACCCCAAGCAGGCTGCATACCTTCAGCGCTTGGCCCCCTGCAGGGCTCAAACCCATGATTCCTGAGATCATGACCTGAGCTGAAATCAAGAGCAGAACGTTCAACCGACTGAGCCACCCAGGTGCCCCCTGAATTATATTTTTAAAATGAGAGGCCGTGGGTGGAGTGGTTAGAGCACAGGCTTGAGAGCTTCCTGCGGGTTTTAATGGGGATCCACACTCTCCTGCTGTGTGACCTTGGGTGGGTGTGATTTCACCTCTCTGGCCCTCACTTTCCTCATCTGGGAAATGGGGACAGTGACTGCACTTCCTTCATGGTAAGGTTTACCCGGTTGGCAGGTATGAAGCTTCTAGAACGGAGCCTGGCACACAGCTGGCAGCAGGTAGCTCCCACTCCCCACCCCTGCTCTATTATTTACAGCCTCCTGTCACCTTGCATTAAACCACATGCTCATTTGCTCAGCCCTTTGGGGGGTCCCCCACACAAGGACGCCAGCCCCTGAGGACGGTGGTCTTCGGCGTGCCTGCTGATGTGCCCGGAGAGCAGGGCGCACACCCAGTAGACCCCTGTGGCCTGAGTGGATGAGGGTGGAGGCGGCGGAGTCTCAAATCACTGCTTCCTCTGATCCCCACCTGTTCCCTGGCCCGGGTACCAGCTGTGAGGTGGCGCCAGATGCTGGCGGGCTGAGGTTCAAGCCAATAATAAACAGGCAAATTAGTGACGGAGAGAATTCCAGGGAGGGGATGGCAGGAGGAAACGAATTCCAGTGCGGAGGCGGTGGTAGTTGGAAGGGGGCTGCTTTGGTTTGGCCTCCCCTGTGACTTTGCTGAGGTGACTCAGCGGGAGAAGGTGATCCCCAGGCAAAGGGAGCAGCCAGGACAGAGGCCCATAAGGCGCATGGAGCTATTTTCCACAAACAAGGGTCCAAACCCAAACAACTTACAACTTGCAACTGAGCTCCAGCGCATCTTGGGATCAGAACGGCGGATCGCCAGAACCTGGAGTTGACGGCAGCTGAGATTCCCACGAAGGATATTTGATCCATGAGCACTTTGTTGGGGCTCAAGGCCTCTGTGGGTCAAAGCCTAACACGGCCTGAGGCAGAGCAGGCTTGAAGGCCCTGGACCTCAGTTTCCCTGTTTGCATCACGAGGGGCCAGAGGCTGCTAGATCTTAGGAGATGAGTGTTGATGGGACGCCTGAGTACCTCAGTTGGTGAAGCATCTGACTCTTGGTTTCAGCTCAGGTCACAATCTCACAGTTGGTGAGTTCGAGCCCTGCTTTGGGCTCTGTGCTTATAGTAGGGAGCCTGCCTGGGATTCTCTCTCACCATCTCTTTCTGCCTCTCCCCTGCTCACACATACACACATACACTCTCTCAAAATAAATAAATAAGGGCGTGCCTGAGTGGCTCAGTCAGCAAAGCATCCAACTTCAGCTCAGATCATGATCTCACAGTCTGTGGGTTCAAGCCCTGAGTCAGGCTCAGTGCTGACAGCTCTGAGCCTGGAGCCTGTTTCAGATTCTGTGTTTCCCTCTCTCTCTCTGCCCCTCCCCTGCTCTCACTGTCTGTCTGTCTCTCTCTCTAAATTAAATAAAAATGGTTTTAAAAATTAAAAAAAATAAACTTAAAAAAAGAAGATGACTATTGAGTGAGTGGTGGTTTGAGGTGGGCTCTGAGGGTCTCATGTTTCCCAGCTCGGGTGTGTATGGTCCAAGTGAGTACCATGGGGCTGGTAAGGGGCAGAGCGGGGATTTGAACCCAGGCAGGTTGGGCTGGAGTCTGGGTTCATGACTTCCCTGCTGTGCAGCCTGTTGGTCTGTTGGCCACACTTGCATGTTTCCAAGGACAGCTCTGGGTAACTGCATTTATCTCCCATAGAGCAGACAAAGAAAAGTCATCTGAGAGCCCCGGTGTGGGAGATTGATGCAAAAGTGGCTACAGTTCTTCTTTCCGCCCCTTGTCCCCATCTCTTGTGTTGTGAGTTTGCAGCCCCCCTTCCCCGCCCTGTAAGGGGTGGAGTCCTTTCTCCCTTGAATCTGGACCGGTCTTGAGACTTGTGGCCAAGATAACTGGGTGTCAGACCCGAGCCAGGGCCTCAGGAGGGCTCAGGCTCTTCTGTTCTTTCTTGGAGTCCAGCCAAGCCTCTAAGAGAATAAACCAGACTCCTCATCAATGTCACATTGAAGTCCGGTTACCCCTGTTGCCCTTCTGCCAGCCACCAGAGCCCCCTTGCTGACCTGTCACCAGTCATACACAGGAGAGCCCCGCTGAAATCCAAAGAACCATCCAGCAGAGCCCAGTATACCAACCCATAGAATAATGAGCTAAAAAATAAGTTGGTGTTTTAAACTGCAAAGCTTTAAGAGGTTTGTTACACAGCAATAGCTGACTGATAGAGTCCTGGGGGAGGGGGAATATAGAGTATCAACTGTTATTATAGTCATTCATGTGCTTCAAGCTGTTGAGAATTTGAATCTCAAGAGAGACACAAGAACTCAGATCAGTGGCTTTTTGTTTTTAAGACTTTATCATTAAAAAAAAAAAAGTAGAAGACATCAGTGAAGGGAGGTAGGGGAGAGAAGTGGGGAGTGGGCTGGAGGGTGAGGGGACCTCTCCCAAAAGTCGGATCCAGCTGACCCTCCTTCCCTGACAGCCCCAGCCCACCTCCAGTCCCTTCCCTAGCCTGGAGGCTGGGGACCCCCAACCACCACCTTCTGAAGACCCAGGCCCAGGATCGCAGCTTGGGTTTGAGGCAGAGGTGAGGGCAGATGTGGGGCGCAGGGCCTGGGGGCCTTGTCTTTGTCCTTGAGAGCCCCTCAAGTGGGCACTCAGGCCCCCATATCCCGGCGGAGCCCCAGGGAGGTAGGCATTGCATTGGGGGCCTTAGGAGGCGGGGTCCTGAAGTCAGGGGGCCAGGCAGGGACCGAAACCAGGTGTGAGCCTGGCGGTCACAGTCCGGAGGCTGGGGTCTGTGGACAGGGGACAAGAGGCCAAGTCAGGAAGTGGGGAGGGGTCTGGCTCCGCATCAGCCCCTCTGTGCAGCCTCCATCAGCCCCATAGCAAAAGAAATGCAGGGGGAGGAAGGGAGGGAAGCAGAACAGAAATGGAGAAGGGAGACAGACAGGGATGAAAAAAAGAGACAAGAAGACAATTAAGACCAAGAAAGCCAAAGGAAGACAGGGGGCAAGAGAGAGACAGAAAGAGAGAGAGAGAGAGAGCGCAAGACCCCTCACCATCTCTTCTCTTCCCTGAGGTTCTCCTGACAGTCAGACCAGGCCACACCTGTCCTCGGTTGGTCAGGGCAGAACTGAGACTCCGCCCTGACCCACCAGTCCCTGAACAAACATGTCCATCTCTCCCTCCCAGGCTCCAGTCCCCGGGCCCCTCTGTGCCTAAGCCCTCCTAGGTGCCCAACCCCCAGCCTTTCTGTGGGACCTGAGTTCATTACTCATCCAGCCAGCTTGCCAGCATCAGCCTAGCCCAGTCCTCTTTCCCCTCATGTGTGTGATTGAGCAGGGGAGGGGGTGCTATCTCATGGCTGTGAAGTTTCTAAGTGTACTGGGCCTTTGCATATGCTGTTCCCGCCTTTCCTGCCTCACTCCTTCCATTCTCTTGGTCTCAGCTCCAAGTCCCCTCTTCCAGGAAGTCTTCCCTGGTCTGATGCCCCCTCTGGGCTCCTCTAGTTCCTGGGTTCCCTCACTCCAGCCCTCCCCACTCTGGGTCATCACTGTCTCCCACTGGACAGTGAGCCCTTTGGAGGCAGGGCACAGAAATGCTCAGGGAATGTGCATTTAATGAATGAGTGAGTGAGTGAGTGAGTGAGTGAATGAATGAATGAATGAATGAATGAAGCAGTGCTAAAGTAAAGACTCTGGCTTTCAGAAACTTAAGGGGCGCCTGGGTGGCTCAGTCGGTTAGTCGTCCGACTTTGGCTCAGGTCACGGTCTCGCAGTCTGTGGGTTCGAGCCCCGCATTGCTCTCTTTGCTGACAGCTCAGAGCCTGGAGCCTGTTTCGGGTTCTGTGTCTCCCTCTCTCTCTGCCCCTCCCCAGCTTGTGCTCTGTCTCTCTCTGTATCAAAAATAAATAATTGTTTAAAAAATTAAAAAAAAGAAACAATACAGAGTCAAGGTCTGATTTGTGTTTTAGAAATTCCAGGCAGCCTTTCAGCCCTGGGCCTTTGCACATGCTGTTCTCTCTGCTTTTCTGAGACAAGTGAATCTGCCCAAGTGACCTCTTCTTAGCATCATTTTTCTCCTCCATAACATGAAAATAATAATACTTTCTCCCTCTTGGGGTTTGTATGAAGACTAAGTGAGAAGATGTTCTAAAGTCTTAAGACCCAGGAGAGAAAAAGAATGAACACTACTACCTTTCCTCCCTCTTCTCCCCGCTGGACTCCTATTCATCCTTCAATACCCTACCCATAAGTCACTTTCTCTGTAAAGCTTTCCTGATAGCTCAGAGATAAGTGATGTCTCCCTCCTCTGAGCAAGCTGTGTTATATTGTTTTGGCTGTTGTTCTAGACAGTCATTTATTTCTGATGTCCACTTCCTCCCAAGCCCAGAATCTTCTGAAGATCAGGATCCTACCTGAGACTGGTCAGGATATGGAATGAGGGTTTAACTACATTAGGGATGTATGAATGGACAGGAGGCAGATGAATGGGTGGGAAGGTAGGTGGGTGAGTGCATGCTAGGTGGGTACATGAGTGGGTGGATCAATGTGGAGGTGGGCGGTGAATGGGTCGATGTAGTTTCTGATGGGTGACAAGCAGTAGATGCCTGCATAGATGGATCATGGGTAGGTAGGTAGCTGAGTGAATGCATGGATAAGTGGGTTGGACAGATAGGGAGTGGATGTATTTCAGATGGATAGTGTGTAGGTGGATGATTGGTGGATGGATAAATGTAGAAATGATTGAATGAGTTGATGGGTGGATGGATGGACAGATGAATCATCTTCCCACTAAGCCTTGGAGAACCCTCAGTTCAGGTACCTATGCTGACCCTGCTCTGGGTGGGCCCAATATTGGAATCTGGGGTTCTTACCAAGGTTTGAGAGCCACACCACCCCCAACCCAGTGCCCCTAGACATTGGACACTCACACTTGTCCTGAATCTATAGATAATGCCACTCTCCTTCTAAGTTCAAACTCATCCCCATCGACCCTGGGAGACAAAAGAGGAGGGTTAGTGGGTCTTCACCAGACATCCTCATATGCCCCTAAATCCCTCCTGCCTGCTCCTTCCCCAGGGGATCCCTCTATTGGGACATACTGGGTCGTCATTTAAGAAAGGACTAGTCCTTTAAGGAAAAGTAGAGCCTTCCCATGGATGGGCAGAGTTTGGAAGAAGCAAACCCAGTCAAGAAAAGGTGGGCACCTGGTAATCTACAGTTGTCTCTCCAGCTCCACTGTTATGCGAATGGCGTACTATTCATGAAGTTAATCCCGAGAGACGGGGCATCTTCATTAAGAGGCGGGGCCTAGTGTGTTGTGGGCGAGGCCTAGTTAAGGGGCGGGGCCTTACCTGGAGGCCTGACAGTCATATGTGGCTGAGCTTCCGTGTAGCCCCCGATGGGCTGGCCCTCTGTGCTGAAGGCTGCACTCTGCCCTGCGAGGGAGGTTGAGGGGTGCAGGCTGAGCCCAAGAATGTGCGGGTCCCAGCTTTGACACTCCCCGGGGGAACACTAGACCCTCTCTCCCCACCTTTTCCTTGTACCTGTGCGGTTGGACTGATCGATCATTGGTTGCACGATGCGTCTGCGGGCGTTAATGAACCTGGGAGGGGGTCATGGAAACAGAGGAAGGTGTAAATAGGAAATAGAAGAGAGGCAGCGAGGAACACCCCAGATAGAGCTGGAAAAGAGGACGAGGAGAGGGGCGGGGAGAAGAGACGCTCCCAGGGACTTTGCGGCCTCCTTCAGCACCGCGGACAGCGCAAGGCCTCCCACCCCTGGCTGGCCTAGGGGCTTCGCGGCCTCCTTCAGCACCGCGGACAGCTCCTGGCCTCCCACCTCCGGGTTGGCCCACGGGCCCCACACAAGCCTCCTCGGTCACTCACCAGTTGTTGACTTGCAAGATGGTGAGCCCCGTGTCCTGCGCCAGCTGTTTCTTCTGCTCCTCCGAGGGGTATGGGTGCTGTGGCCACCAGCAAGAATCACCCTGCCTACCCAGCTGCCATCTGATCCCCAAGGCCTGGCCCCATGGGGATGGTGAGCCCAGACTGGGGCAGGGCCCGGAGAACCAGCTCATTTGAGCTGTCCCATGCTCCCCCAGGGCCCAATGGAGGGAAGCGGAGCCAAACTTCGGGCAATTATGCCTGTGAGCACCCCCGCCTCTGGCAGCAATTAGAGGCTAATTGGCTAGCTCTCATTAGGGACACCGAAGCTCAGGGTAGGGGCGCCAGCACCGGAAAGGAGGCAAAGCCCAGCACTGGCCCCCTCTAAGTTTCTGTCAGGGTTCCTGTGCATGTTTCTCCTTGTCCCAGTTCCTCCCCCTCTATCCCCCTGTGACGCAGTCTCTCCCTGTGTCCACCCTGCTCTGATCCAGTCCTCCCCAGATCGTTCCATTTCTATCTTTGTGATAGCCTCTCCCTGACTCTCTTTCTGTCGCTGTGTTCCAGGCTCTCCCCGCGAGGCACTGTGGGACACTGGTTAAGGCCAAACTGCCTGTTTCTGAACTCACTTCTGGCTAGAAGACCTCTGCAGAAAGGAGCTACCCACAGCCCTGCCCTCACAGCCTTTGTCTGGCCGGATGGTGATGACTGATGGAGGGATGAACAGGTGGTGGGTTGGGGTCAGGACTGAATGAGTTCAGAGCCCTTAGCAGCACCTGACACATGGGGAGCGCTCATGGATGCTTTCTCCTGTCGGTCCCCATCCCTTTGAGATTGGCCCTCAATATTTCCCCCGTGCCTCAGTCTCCCATCTCAGGGTCTCTCTTGGGGCCTTAGTCTCTGCATGGCCATCTTTCTCCTTCCCTCTCTATGCCCACGCTGCACCTGGGCCCCAAGGCTCTCACCGAGAGGTGCTGAAACAACCAGGCTCTCATGATGTTGGTCGCCACCTTGGGGAATATCCCCCTCTTCTTATTACGCCGTCGCTCCTGGTCCAGCTCCTCGTCCTCGCCCCCAGAACTTGGAGAGGCCATGCTTGTGTCTAGTCCGTCTCCTGAGGGAGGACAGGCATGCTGCACTTGTGGGCAGGGGGTGAGGGATACCAGAGAGACCCAGAACGCTCACCCACGAGACTGCTCCACACCCCAGTCATCCTTGCACCTGTGGAAGTCCCACTTGCTGTCTAACTCCAATCCTCAGACTGACTCCCACATTTCCCCTCCACCTCCCAGGCTTCTTACCTTGGTCACTGGAGTTGTCCCCACTCTGGGAGGCCAGGCCCCCACTGGATGGACCGGGGGTCCCCAAATGTACAGACCCACTGTCCTCATGGTCTCTAATCCAAGTATTATTCTGGAAAACAAGAAGAGTTGGAGGGCAGAGCCAGGGCTTGAGTACAACGTAGCACACAGTGGCTGAGGCCATGGGCTCCGGAGCTGGGATCCCTGAGTGTAAACAGAGCCTGTCCCTGCCTCTTTCCTGGCTGTGTGACCTTGGGCAAGTCGTTTCACTTCTCTGTGCCTGTTTCTTCAACTAGAAAACGGAAGATAATAAACTGTCCCCACCTCACAGAGCAGGGTAAGGATTCAATGAGTTAATTTACATAAAGACACATGGCAATTTCCCAATAAAGAAGACTTTATATAGATCTATGACACTTTATCTGAAATCCTTTGGGGCCAGCAGTGTTTCAGAATTCAGAATGTTTCACATTTTAATGTATTTTATTTATTTATTTTTATATACTTTTTCATGTTTATTCTTGAGAGAGACAGAGTGTGAGCAGGGGAGGGACAGAGAGAGAGGGAGACAGAATCTGAAGCAGGCTCCAGGCCCTGAGCTGTCAGCACAGAGCCCGATGTGGTGCTCGAACTCCCAAACTGTGAGATCATGACCTGAGCCGAAAGTCTGAAGCTCAACCAACTGAGCCATCCAGGCGCCCCTTATTTATTTATTTTTAAAAGTAATCTTGAACTCACCACCCTGAGATCAAGAGTTGCATATGCTCTACCGACTGAACCAGCCAGGCGCCTCAGAACTCTTCACATTTTTAGACAGGAAATCCGTGCACACACTGTATATTTCACAACACCCCTAGGATCTGGGGCTTAACCCTGTCATCAAACTCATTAACATTTCTGTAGCAAAATGGATGAATATTTAACTAAGTGGAATAAATAAAGGCTATAAATAGCCTCTCATTAGTTCAGGTCAGATTTTCTGTCAAATGAGTTTGCACTAAACTTATGGGGGATAGAAAAAACAACTTTTCAGTTTTCAGAGATTGATGGGTCGGTTCTCTGAATTGCCGATCAGGGGAATTTGGGCTGTGGGTTGTGCTTCTTTTATCCAAACTCTGACACACTTGGAAGGCCTGGACAATACATTGGACCCACCCTCGGCCTCCCCCCCCCCCCCGCCGCCGACCTGTGTCCCAGGAGGCTGACCCACCCGCAGAAGCTGTATCAGGACCTCCTTGTCATTTGGTTTGAGGTTTGTATCAAGACCTCTGGTCAGTTCAATTGTTGGAAGGCAGATTGGGTGGGTTCAGCTCTTGTCCAACCCCAGAGTACCCCACCTGCCCTACGGATTGCCCTTGACCCTTCCTGTTGCTTTGCAAACAGTCCCTCCCCAAATGGCCCAGTGAGGGTGCATCCTCTGTGTCCTGCGGAGGCTGAGCTGCGGACGCCACAGCTCGGCGAAGGTTTCTGGGGGTTTGGTATGTCTGCGTGGAATTGTGCATTGTGGGCGGGGGTGCACACTCTAGAATCATCGGTCTGAAGGCTTTGGAGCTTGGCACCTGGGGTCACCTCTGGCTCTCGTAACCCCAGATCTGAGGGGATCCTGGAGTGAGCACCCACATCGGTGTCCCTGAAGCGGTCCCGAGACTGTTGTGTGGCCCGCGTCGGCGTGCTCACGTCTCTGCTCGAGGTGGGATGGTCGCCCCCGGAGAGGAGGTGGCTGTGGCCTGGCTGTGAGTTTACATGGGCACAGCCGGGACACACGACACTATCAGAGCATGGCTGCGTCACTCTTTGAGACAGTCTGTGGCTGTCACAAGGCCACAGTTTTCTAAGTTTGTGGCTCTTGCTCGAGGGGCCGGCTGTCCCGTTTGTGAGACAGCGTGTGCGGTGACCACACAAAGGCGGCTTTGTGACTCTATGGGGCCAGATGTGTATCGGAGGCCGCGTGAAGCCGTGAATACGGCTGTGCCTCGAGTGGGTTGCAACCGGCGCTCACACCCGCGGGGCTTTTGCTGAACTTGTGCAGATTAGGAGCTGTGGGCCAGAGGGTCCACACGCCCGAGTCTGTGTCACTGTGCTGTGGCCGTGTGCCTGTATCCGGGGTACATGTGTTATGTCGTATAACTGCCGCGTGTGTTTGTGGCAGGACAACCTCGCGGGTGTGGCCCTACACTGCACTGTGGCTGAGGGATTGTCAACGAAACTCGTCCGTGTGCACCTGGGGCTGAGCGCTGTTGAGTGGCAGGGTGCGCATGCGCAGCTGCAGGGGTCGGGCCCTTACGGGGCTAGGGCAGCGTGGGCATGCGCGTGCGCAGGCGCTGTGCTGGAGCAGGGCTGGGTCCCAGTGCGGCTGTGTCTGAGTTTGTGTGGCAGCATCTGGGGCCGTTTGGCGAAGGCTCCATCTGTGGGGCTGTGCTGTGGCCGGCTGCGCTGTCAGGCGGTGCGGTCCCTGATGCCGTTACGCGGCTGGGGTGTGTGTCTGAGTGTGTGGTGTGCGCTCTCGCCAAACCGTGGCGGTGGCTGTAACAGTTTGTGTAGCTGTGTCTAAAGCTGTGTGTGTGTAGCCGAGCCTACGGGTGGTGTCTGCAGCTGTCGGTGTGAGTGTGTGCGCGTGTGTGCGCACGCTCCGTCATCCAGCCGTGTCTCGGTCTAGGTAACTGTCGCACTGTTAGCACAAGCCCTGTGGTCCCGCGTGTGTGACCCTGGCTGTGTGAGTCTGGCTGGTGTGCGTGCGCCCCCACGCTGTAGCCCAGCTGTGTCTGCTCATGGCTTTGGTTGCAGGGTTAGTGCGGGGTGATGCCTGGCGCCCCATGCTCGGCCCACCTGATCCGGGAGGCTGGGGCAGGACGCCGGGTAGTCCTCGAGATCTTCCCTGCAGCCGCCATCCCGATCCTCGATGACCAAGTCGATGGGCATCTTTCCCTTGAGGCAGGTGATGTAGCGGTGACAGAAGTTGTCGCACAGGTCGTGGACCTGAGGGGGCACCGGGGTACTGGGGGGGCCACCCGGGGGCCAGGGCTGGGGTGTACAGGGATGGGGGAGCATTCTGCTCCAACTCCAGTGGGCAGAGAGCCTGAAGGAGGGGTGGAGGGGGCGAGAAGAGCAGGGATGGGGGGGCAAGCGAGGGTGTGAGGGGAAGTGAGAAGCACTCACCTTCTCTAGCTCCAGCAGGTGGAACCGGAGCACCTGGATGGCCTGGATCATCTGCAGAAGGAGCCACAGAGAGATGAGGAGGGGAGCGGGGGGGAAGAAAAGGAGACAGAGGAACAGGAAGAATGAGATAGAATGAAGAAGACAGAGGACAGAGAGACAGAAAGAGACAGAACCACAGGGGAAGAGAGCAAGAGACAGAGACCCAGAATTAGGGAAGATAGAATGTTAGAGAGTCAGAGACAAAGAAAGAGAAGCAAAAGGTGCAAGAGACAGGAAAGGATCCAGCGCAAGAGGAGAGAGGGATGTACACTCTAATAAAAATACCCCATTCTTTGCCTGCTTGTCCCCTGCTCTATTTCCCACCCTTGCCTGCGAACTACATTTCCCATACTCCTTTGCCAAAGGGTTCGGCCAATAGGAAGCCCCGGCGGGAGCTGGAAACCAAAGTAAAGGGAGAAGCTGGGGTATTTCTCCTTCCCTCTCCCTCTCCTTTCTCTCCTCTCTCCTTGGCAGCCACGTCCCTGCACTCATTTTGGCGTGGGCTCTGTTGTCCTGAGTGATAGAACAGCTCATGTCTATTCAGTCTCTGTTCTGGGCCAGCCACTGATCTAAGTGTTTGACTCTTTTTAGCTCATTATATCCTCACAACAGCCCCACAAGATAGAAACCACTACTAGCTACAGATGAGGGAACTGGGGCACAAGGAGATGCAGCCACTTGCCCTGGTTCACAGAACTAGTGAGTGGCAGAGCTTGGACTTGAACTCAGGCCATCGGTCCACGTTCTCAAACGCTAGGCTCTAGTCATTGCAAAAGGGCAACAATTATCACTATTTGAGAAAGTGGGTCAGGTGATCTCCCTGCTCCCACAAAGAACCCCAGGGTTATGGAGGGTGGGACAGGAGACCCCTGTGGAGGAGGGAGCACTGGGGAGGGCCCAGATCTCACCAGATTGTCCAGCTCCGGGTTGGAGGAGAAGAGGGGCCTCTCAGAGCTGACCTGAGAGGAAGAGAGAAGCCAGAGAAGGCGCGTCCTGTCTCCAGCCCCCACCTCCTCACTGGCTCTCCTGGCACAGGGCAGATGAGGGTGCCCACCTGCTTAGCAAAGGCAGCGATGTCCTCGTTGAAGGAGTCAGAGGAGCATACGTCACCGCCTGGAGGTGTGCCCAGCCCAGCCCCGGCCCCATCACGGGGCGAGCACGTGGCCAGCTCACATTTCTCAAAGACCAGGGCCAGCAGCGGGAAGAGCGGGTGTCTGGGGGAAGCAGGAGAGAAGGTTCAGGAGGGGAGGGCAGGGGGATGATGGAGTACCGAACACCTGGGAGAGGGACAGGAGACCCAGGGGAAGAGATGGAGAGACCAAGACAGAGCAAGAGAGACGGAAGAAAGGGGCCGCAACCCAAGAGCTGTCCCCACTCACCCATAGATCTCATCCTTCTCCCTCCTCAGGCCGTCACTGTCCAAGCCGGGGGGCTGTGGTTGGGGAGGCCGGTGTGGGCCATAGGGCCCGGGGGCTCTCGGTGCCGAGGGCACTGCCTCCGAGAAGCCAGCCAGGGTTGCAGGGCCATCCACGATGCCTGGGTAGTGAGGCAGCTCATCGTACTGGGGGGAAGGGGAGAGGGGGAGAGCCCCAGGGAGGCGTCAGGAAACCTTACCCCGGCACCCAGGAGATGCCTCTCCCACCCCCCAGGAGCCAGCCCTTTCATCTGTGTCTGAGCCCTGCTCTTGTGGACCCCGGATGTCCCACGGAGCTGTTTTACTGGGACTGAGGGCCCTGTCCCAGGGCCTTCTCTTCTATCCCTGGTCTGTGCAAATGTCCCGTCAGAGATTTTTTAAAAACTGTTTTTGGTTTATTAATTTTTAAGACAGAGAGAGACAGAGTATGAGCTGGGGAGGGCAGAGAGAGAGGGAGACACAGAATCCGAAGCAGGCTCCAGGCTCTGAGCCGTCAGCACAGAACCTGACGTGGGGCTCTAACCCACAAACTGTGAGATCATGACCTGAGCCCAAGTCGAACACTCAGCCAGCTGAGCCACCCAGGCGCCCCCCCATCAGAGATTCTTGATGTGTGGGCAGGAGGGTCCAGAGGAGGGGGACTGACCCAGGTCTCCGGTCTGAGGATCAGGATGGGGGTCAGGGATCAGTTGGCTGCTAACCGTCAGCTCCTCCCAGAGCAGGGACTGGAGGGAGGAGGGGAGAGAGCGGTGGAGTCATTCCAGGAAGAGGATGCAAGACAGACAGAGGTGAGGAAAGAGAGGGATAGAGGGGAGATATGGGGGTGGGGGGGCCCACTCCTGGACACTTCCCACAGAAGCAGCACATCCTTTATGCATATGTGCACTGTCCCCTCTCCTCTTCAGTTTCATCTCACAGTTGTCAGCTATGCACATCTGAGTGTCCCTTAACAACTTGTCACACCCCACTCAACGTAGAAATCTCCCCCCCTCCCCAGCCAAACACCAGGCACAGGAATAAAGGAATGAGTGGGTGAATGAATGAATGAATGAATGAGACAAGTCGCGCATGCGTGCATGAATGAATGAGGCACGCAACACAGGGCCTGGCACACGTTCCATAAACAACTTGTTGAACGAAGTGTAACCCCGCACAACCGCGGAACCCCACGCGATCAGCCGCAGAGAACCGCTGTCATTACAGAAGTACACACACTGCGGGGGCCACAGGGACCTGACGCCCCCCCACCCCCGCCCCCGGGCCAAACCCTGCCCTGGGCCACGAGGAAACTGAGGCTCAAACAGAAGCACCCGAGCGTCCCTGCCGCGGGGCGCCCTGGCCCCTGGCGGGATGCAAGGCCCTGCCCGTGTGTCCCTCTGTCCCTTTTTCTCTTCTTCCTCTCCCAACTCTCCCTGAGCCCCAAAGTTGAATCCCAACTGTCCCCCGGTTCCTGGCGCACCCGAAGTTGTGCAATAGGGTCCTCGCCTGCTGCCTTGTGCCCACCCCCCCCGCCACCCCCGAAGGGGCTGCTCACCTCCTCGCCCGCCTCCTCTGGCCTCCCCTCCCCCAGGACCATAGAGGAGAGACTCCCCCGGCCCTGCCTGGCCAGACCCCCGCCCCCTCTTCCCCCAGCACTGTCTCCACCCCTAACCCTCAGGATGACTTGGAACAAAAGTAGACCCGGGAGGAGGACTTGACAGGGCAGAGAAGGAAGGAAGGGTTCGGATAAAGCGCCCAAGACGGAGCAGGAGACCCTCGGGCAGAGACCGGGGAGGAAGAGACGGGGGACGCAGAGAGAAGAGGAGACCGGGGCACAGAGAGAGAGAGAGACGGAGGAGAGGGCGGGAGGGGCCGGAGCGGGGGCGGCAGAGGGCGGGGGTTCGCGGCGGGGCTGGGGCACGGGGTGCCCGCCCTCAGACTTACCCTCCGGGCCATGGGCTGACGCCGGCGGCAGCTCCTGGGTCCCTCCAGGGCCTGGCCGGCGGGGCGGGCGCAGCCCGGGGCAGCGGCCCCCGACGGGCCGCGGTGCCGACGCCAGGGGGTGGGGCAGGAGGCCGGGGGCCCGGCCCCCCCACCCCCACCGCCGTCAGTGGCCGGCACCCGGCAGCGCGGAGGCTGCGAGCATGGACCCCCGGCGCCCTCCCCACCGCGGGGGTCACGGCGAGCGGCTCATGCCGGTGGGGGGAAGGGGTGAGTGGGGCGGGAGGCCGTCGCCCGAGGCCCCCTCCCCGGGCCCCCAGTTCCCTCCCCCGGGGCCCGGGAAGATCGGCAGGGCTGTAGGCGGGGGGGAGGCCGAGGTGGAAACGGGGGTGGGGGGCGCGCGGGGATGGGGCGGGGAGGGGGCCCCGGGCGGGGGGCTCGGGTGGGGGGCGGCGGGCCGGGGGTGGGAGATGATGCTGGCGGCGGGGCCGCTCGGTGTCTCCCCGTCTCCCGGTCTCTCCCGGTCTCTCCCTCGCTCTGTGGTCACATCCGGAAGTTCCACATCGAGAAGCTTAACCCGCTGTCCGCCGGTGGCTGGGCCGCGGGCGGGGCAGGCGGGGGTGGGCGGGCCCCTCCCCCGCCCCGCCGCCGCAGCTCCCGGGGCCGCCTTTGTGTCGGGGTCTCCCCGGGGTCGCCGGTCCCCCGGTCCCCACCCCCGCCTGCCCCTCTCCGCGGCGCCCTCTCCCCCCGCCCCCGCCCTGCCCGGGCCTCCTCCGCCTCCCGCCCCGCGGCCGCCACAGGTCTCTGTCCGTCGGCCGGTACCCTCCGCTCCCCGCCCTTCCCTGCTCCCGCCCCGGTCCCGGGGCCGCGCTCCCCTGAGTCCGCCCGCCACTCTCCCTTTCTCTCCATATCTTTCCCTCTTTGTCTCTCTGTCTCTTTGTCTCTTTCTCTTTGTCTCTGTCCGTCTGCCTCTCTCTCTAGCAGACAGATCAGAGCGAGGAGAAAACCCCATATTTTAGTTTCTCTTCTTGCCCTGGGCCCCCTAACTTCCCTGCCCTGGGAGCTGGGGAGGCTCATGCGCCCGCGTCGGAACCCATCTGTGCGTGTGCCCGCGCGCGTGCGGGTGTGTCCCGGCTGTGGCCGTGTGGCTGGTAGTGGGGCCCTGCCTGGGGGTGTGGGGGTGTTTACAGGTCCGCACGTGCTGCTTCTGTCTGAACATGGTGAGTCCCCTGGTTGTGTGTCCCCTGGAGTTTGTGCACACAGAATCTGGGCCTCCGGCCATCGGAGCGGCAGCCGGTGCGTGCGCGCGCGCGCGCGCGCGCGCACGGGCCTGAGGTTTTCCCTCTGTCCCTCTGCCCAGTTTTGACCCCTGCCTTTGACAAAGTTCTCTCCCTGCTCTCAGTTTGTGGATTCTCTAGAGTTCAGGGTAGATCACGTGCCTGCTCAGGTATCTCGGAGCGCAGGCCCACGGTTTTTATCTGATTCCTGGAGGATCCGGACCCCGACAGCCTTGGCAACTAGTGTTCTAATGAGATAGAACAGGGTTTTCTGCGGCCGAAATTAACACTGAGTCCTGACTGTGTGCTGAGGGGTGTTCTAGAGACATAACAGGGGGAAAAGACACACTTCCTGGCTTCCTGGAGCTCCCATTCTGCTGGAGATGGTGAGGGAGAGAGAGAGCAGACCAGTAAGTAGATGTCTAAGTGTGAAATAATGCCTGGAGGGGACGAGTGCTCTGGGAGAAAGCAGAATAAGGACAGAGAAGATGATAGAAGCTGGACAGGGAGGGCCTCAGAGGGCGAAACATCTGAGCAGACACCTGAAGAAGGTGAAGGAGGGAGCCATGTGCACCTCTGAGGCAAGATCTGTCCGAACATAAGAATAGCAGGTGCAAAGGCCCTGGGGCAGGAATGTGCCTGGTGTGTTGGAGGAAGTAAGGAGGCCACGGGGCGCAGGATAGGGCAGGGGGAGGAGATACACCTGGGATCCATTGTCTCACTGGCTTGGGGTCCTCAGATGCCCGAGGGGATGTGCAAATGGGTGTCTGGAGGCCCGTGAACTCCCTGAAATTGCCAATGGTGGCCTTGGGGCCTGTGTGCTCCTTTCCCAGGGAAAAGGCCCGTTTTTTTCCATCTGTTGTCACAAAGAGGGGTACTGGGCCCCCAAAAGTTGCCAGCCATCACTCCCGAGAGACAGCACCAGGGAGAAATGAGCCTTGGTCCAGGCAGAAGGAGGCATAAACTTGGGGGCAGAGGACAGAGATCCAGGGAGAGGGGCGCAGGGGGAGGGGTCAGAGGCAGCATCCCCACTGGGCTCTCTAAGGATATTTTTATGACCCTCATAAACAGCTCTGCTCTGCTGCAGTCGGCTTCTCCATCCTCCGGGCTGATGGAAATGAAACCAAACCGCCCAGGCCTGGGGCAGAGCAGAGAGACAGGGGGAGCTGCAGAGGAGAAATCAGGTTAGGACAGCGGTGGAACTTTCCAGTGGGGGAGGGCGAGTGGAGGGCTTTGAGGAGGGCAAGGACCATGGCCCCGGTCCCTCACCTTGGTCCCTCTCACCCCAGGGGAGGTTCCCTCCTTTCCCCCCCATGGCCCCAGGGCTCAGCTTCAACCCAGAACTGTGTGTCTATGGCTCTGTCACGCTCTCCAGAGCCCTTATCTCTGTCCCACATAGGATCTCTGCCCCTGTCTCTCTCTGGGTCCCCGACTTGCCCTTGGATCCCCTCTCTGCACACCACCAGCCCTCCCACCTGGCCATCTCTGGGTCTCCTCCGGGAAGCTGGGGTCCAGACCCACCTCAGACCCTTCTCTCTTAAAGCCTCAGTCTCCCCATCTGCTGGCTGGGCAATGGGCTTGGGGGAAGGCGTGCAAAGGAAATGGTTAAACCAGAGAGTTGCCAGGACCTCTTGGGGCCTTGGCCGAATCTGGGGTCCCCCGTGCCAGCGGGCCGTGCCCTTGAAGCTGTCCCACGCAACTGTCCCTCGGGTGGTGCTGGCCCTTTAAGGGCGGCGCAGAAGGGAAGGGGGCCCAAAGGCTTTTAATCACTGCCACACGCCCCGCCCCCCAGATAGGGGTTTTGGAGCAGAAAATTAATTTAAATCACTTTTTAATTAAAGATGCAAAGCTCTTCTGTCTGTCCTCCTCCCTCCCCTGCCTTCAGCTGACAGTTCAGGGTCCAGGAGCCAGGCAGGGGTCTGGGCTCCCAGCCTTGCCTTACTCCGGTGGGGGGGTGGGGGGGGGGTTCCGAGGTCTCCTCCCCCAGCTGATCCTGAAAACAAAAAGAGTGGCCTGATGTGACAGCCGCAGTGCGCAGTGGGGAGTGCGTCCCTGTGAGGCCAGGGAGGGGGTGTGACTCGGAGACACAGCCCGAAAGAGACAGGAAAGAGTGTGTGTGTGTGTGGGGGGGTGTCTGGACTGAGTGACAGACAGGGGTGGGGGTCCCGGGTGGGGAGGAGAGAGAGACAGAGAGAGAGAGAGAGAGGCAAGAGACAAGAGTCATTTCTTCCATTGCTCTGAGCTCAAAGGACCCTCTAGCCCCATGAATAAGGAAGAGGGTCTTTGACTCTTAGGCATAAATCTTGTTAATTAAAGGAGGAGGGAGATGTCCGCAGGGGGGAAAGGGGTGTCTGCAGTTTTCTCACTGCACTGCCCTCGGCCTGTCTGTCTGTCTGTCTGTCACACACACACACACACACACACACACTCCAGTCCTGTCTCTCTGACTTCAGGCCTCCTCTGCCGAGCTGTTTCCTTAACTGGTTCTTGGACCATTGGACCCTCGAGTCCCGGGAGAGGGAGGAGGCCAGGATGCTTGTGGGCAGGGGGGTGGCCCCTGCCCGCCGGCCCTGGTGTGGCTGCACATCTGAGGGTGATGTCTGGGCTCCCACGTCTGCATTTCTGTGTGTGTGTGTGTGTGCAGCTCAGCCTGGGCACAGACCCGGTCTTCCTCTGCTCAGTCTTGTCTGGGGCTTTGCCTGCAGGCGGCTGCGATCCCCAGGGACCCCCAGCTGTCCCCACGATCAGCTCTGAACTGAGCGAGGGACCCCTCTGTCTCCCGTTGCGGTCCTACAAGCTCTCTGCCTCAGTTTCCCCTTCATCTCTGCCGCTCTCGCCCTCCTTTCTCGCTCGGGGGCGGGGTTGAAGGGATCCTGAAAGAAGGTCCTCTGTGTCTCGGCTTCTGTCTTGGGCGTGTGTCCGTCCGCCTGTGTCAGGTGTCTCTCCCTCCATCTTTTTGTCTCTGCGTCTCCCTCTCTCTGGATGGTCTCTCTGTCTCACCCCCATGTCATCTCTCTCTGTCTCCAGGGACTGCTGTCTCTCGGCCTTTGTGTCCTCACCTCTCTCTCTTCCTCTCCTTCGGCGCCTCCGCCCTGCGCCCTGTGGCCCTGGGCGTCTGCGTTCCGTGAGTGTCTCCCTCACCCCCACCCCCGCCCCAGCCTCCCCTGCCTGGCTCCAGGAGAGGGAAACATTTATCTTGGCTGGAGGCCCCCCTCCCCGCACCACCCACCCCTCCGCCTGCCTCCTGGGCCCATCCATCACCGAGCTGGCGACTGGGGCGGCTCATTTGTCACTGCCGCCTGCCGCCCCACCAAGCAATCATACCATTAGCCATGGCTGGCAGAGGCCACTGGGAGGACCGGCCTGCCCCGGGCGGGGGAGGGGCGCCCGCCACGACTCCCACCCGCGACCCCACTCCCGTCTTGCCGTCCCTTCCCTCCTGTGTCTTCCAGTCGGCTTCTCTCGCCAGCTTCTGTCCGCGTCTCAGTGCCTGCTCTCTGGGTCTCTCTCTCCCCCTCTCTTTCACCACGTGCCTCCCTGTCCTGAGTGTGTGTGTGTGTGTGTGTGTGTGTGTGTCCATTTGTCTGTCTCACGTGTCTTTCTCTCCATCTTTTCCTTTTTATCTCTGTCTCTCTTTGTCTGGACAATCTCTCTGTCTCCCTGTCCCCATCTCTCTCTGTCTCTCATCCTCACTCTCCCTCTCAGTCTCTCCCTTCCCCTCTCTCTCCCCTGTCTCTGTCTCTGTGGCTCCCTCACCCCGACCTGGCCCCCACCCCGGTCCCTCTCTGTCTGCTCCCTGGTCCGCACCCTCCCCCCCACCACGCGTGCTGTTAAGGGGCTAGAGGATTGCTTCGACCCTCCAGAATCATCTCCCCCCCACCCCCCAGCACTGCACTTTAAAGTCTCTGGGTTCCCCTCTCCGGGCCTACTTTTCTGTTGCTTTCCGTCTTTGTCTCTGCTTTGTTCTGTGGCCCCCTCCCCTTTTCCGTTCCTCTTCCCCCCCCACCCTG